AGGAACATACTAGGGGAATTCCTAAAATTAATACGCTAAGAAAAGTATAATAATAATAACGCGTCACTAGAGACGCGACAAAACACCGACATGGTTCCTGAATAATCCCATGTCGCTTCTAGATAGATATGTAGTTACTTGGTACGAGTCTCTCTACCAGAAAATGAATAAATACCCCATGGATGTGGTGTGTGGACCCACATCTTATTCTCACTTATCTTAGCTTCTGATAACTACTGTCTAAATATTTTTCAGCGATGACCTAGAAGCAGGCGTACAGGGCATGCTCGACTATATTCTGCAAGAAAAACTCGAGCAGCGTATAGACATTGTTCTGGACAAGCTTATGGAGCTAAGCGAACTGGAGCAGCTCAATGGGACCGTATCTATGAACGCTGCTCTATTCATAAGGGATATGCTTATATATATAGAGCTATCATCTGCTATCAAGGCTGGAGACACTGGGCGCATACATGAGATGTTAGTATGGGTCACTATTTTTTGTCAGGTTGGGGGTACAAAGAACTATGCGTATGAACTTTTGCGATTACAGCGCGGTCTCAAATGCGCCTGGACCGATCAGACAGTAAAAGCTGACATGTCCTCATGGTTGGTAAATACTACAGGCCAAGAAAACCGCTGGATACCTACTGATCTTTATCAAGAGCATAATAACCTGCTCATCAAAAAGATGCACCAGGCAAGAGCAAGGGCTGCAAATTGGGACGTGCTAGATGGGTCGCTGTCGGTCAACATCCACTCTCTCGGACAAGTTGGAGAGCAGATGGGAAATGCGTTTGATGTTTCTTACGCAGGCACCAAACATGCCGTAAAACCTCCAAGCGGTGATATCAATGAAATCCTCGCAACCCTCAAGGAGTTCGATAATCTGAGCCTCTATGATAAAGAAAATCCTTCAAAATCTCACCCGCAAACCGCTAACGCAAGCCCTGTGGAAAATCTCTCCACAAGAGGCCTTATCAAGCTGAAAGAAACAAAGCACCTTCAAACATTTACTGCTTCAGTCAGACGTCCACATGAGGCAGCAAATGGAAATATAGCTATAGGCGACGCGATGGAAGCTGATGAGGGTGATACGGATGAGAAGGATGATGAGGACGACGATATGGAATACGGCGATATGGAAAAGTGTTATCAAACAATGAATCAATAGTACTTTTTTCCTTGTGTTTCATGAGAGTAACTAGATATTAATATAAGATAATCGAACCTTTTATCATTCGTTATTGAGTATCTTCTAAAACCAATTGGATCCCTCTTATTAGCTTCCCGAGATCTGTCATAACCTGCTTGCCTGGCACTAATTGCGACTCCCCCCACTCTTAAGCTAAATTAAAAGAACTTGATCTCTGGCATCACGAGAGTGCATTGAGAATTGCATTTCATTATGATGATTCATTCGGCATGCACATTCTAATGCGGTGACCAACCTATGAACTTATTATTTTCATTCATTCATTCATTCAAGGATGAGAATGGTTCATTTCAATTGAAACTATGCCTTCATACCTTTTAGAGGCATTTGGCGTCATACTGAGAGAGAAAAGCAATAAAAGTACCACTTTTCTATTCTTTCATACCACTAGGCCTTCGTGCTCTTCCCCTTCAACTTCTATCTAGTATACGATGGATCTGCAATACATTGTTAATGATGAAGGGTATCAATCCCAACTTGATGACTTCAAGAATTTATGCCTCTCATACTTTGAAGATGAACTCACATTGTTTGATGAGGGAATGGATTTTAGCATCGCCCGCAATCACGATGGAAACTCGATTTTGCTTTCACAATTTATCACTTCGGGTGGGTTGATATCGCAGATCAACTTCGCCAATACTATAGTGTGCAGATGAGGTACAGCCGTTCTTGGATGCCGCGCTTCTTGTGGCTATTAGATACAAGTATCGCCAATTCATACATACTATGGTGTACCAGGAACAGATAAAAAAAAAAAAAAAAAAAAAAAAGATGGATATCGCCAATTTCGCCTGAATCTTGTAAATCAACTTTTATCGTTATCTAAGTTCTGAGTTGTCATCGAGCAAAGAAATTCAAAGAGAAATCTAGAAATTGATGAGTCCCCGGAGGTTACTTTCAAGGTATCAAAAGGTCCATACATTACTAAAAACTCTCCTCCAATCCCTCGTCGACATCTACCAGAGCTTCGTTTCCCGATAAGAACCAAAGAAAGTGAAGGAAGAGATGTTAAGAGTAGGATGGCATGCGAAAACTGCAGGGTTAAGGGTATTAAGGAGGGCATGAAGTCCACCTCACGATCAGAATGGATATGCGCTACATGTAGGGTTCCTCTTTGCTTGAAAGCAAAGCAGAATTGCATTGAGAAAAATAAGCTATAATATTTTGCGTACAAAACACATGTAAAAAGTACCCAAATTGCGGCCATTTTTGATCGCAAAAAATCTTATTTTCGAATTCAGGATTAGGGATAAAAAACCAATGAAGTATGTTCATGCAACAAAAAAGGGTAGATTTGTCTAAAAGGGAAGCCCGCTCGGATCGTAAAAAAAATAAATAAAATAACAACAGAAAAACAGATGAACATTTTTTTTTTTTTTTTTTTTTTTTTTTCCTTTGGCGCAGACTAGCTAGCTCTTTGGGAGACATAAGAGAGATATCAAGTGAAGTTTACAAATGTAGACATGAATCGAGGACAATGCTGTTGGTGTCACCTTAAGACGTACCACAAGGAAGATGTCATATAATGATACGCTTTCTTGGGAGAAAGTACAGCCATCTTATTTGTAACACCAAATGGCGAAGCAAAAAAAAAAAAAAAAAAAAAATCGACCGTTGCATCTGGTACTCAAGTAGAGAAATGAGAAAACCTTTCATCTTGTCATCATCCCCATCATCCTTCCAATCATCACCGAGATGACAAAACCTCAATACCAGCAATTCCAAAAGACTAATAGCGACATCATCGAAGAAGTCTGTGTTAGGACTGTAAACACCTCCGCAAGCAATGATAACTCGTCGTGCTTTGTGAGTTTGCAAGACATTCGAGACGTGTTTCCAGATGCACTACGCTTCAAGTTGGATGGGCACCCCATTCCTTTCCTTTTAGACGATAATGGCAATAGGTATATTGTTTTATCATGGTGCCCTATTAATTATTACTCTGGGAAGAAAAATGACAATCCAATTCATTTTGACATATCTTTGTTGTTTATGTTTTAATAGGATCGAACCACCACGTATTGCATTCTATCCTGACAGGATCTTGGACGTCATTGCAGGGGCACCGCAGTCCTGCAACTGCGTCTGCAACTGTGAAAGCAGCAGCAGCAGCAGTAGCAACGCCATCATCCGCTTGCCAACATTGAAACAATCGAAGAACCTGGACTTTCAGGACCTTCTTTGGTCATTATCAAATATAGCCCAACCTTCAAACTCATTTCTTACCATTCGTAATAACGAAGATTTCAACTCTCACCTTGAAAAGATTAAAGGCCTGCTACTGGAGGCCAAAAATAGAGATAATGAGGTGATTAAACTGCAGTCAGAGATGCTTAAACTGCAGTTGGAGGCCAAGGAGAAGGACGACAAGATGCTTGAAATGCAGAAGGAGACTCTTAATTTACAACAGCAAGCACTCGACAGACTTGCCATCCTTCAGCAGAAAGCTGAAGCTATCCTTATCCAGTCCTTTGAGCTACACGAGTACCCAATCCCTCGGCTGTTTATCATTTTGCCTATCGATCGTACTAAGTGGGACCCAATGAATATCTTGAGAAATAAGGTCCGACTTCATTTCTTATGCGAACACGGCATCCACGCCGTAAACGCAGCTAAGAGCTGTCACGACCAGATCCATCTTGCCAGACATGAGGGATATGAGATCCGGGAGAGCACAGAGTTTTTCCAAAAGTATGGAAAATACATGACCATCCTTTTACAGTGCCTCAGTATGGGAATGCCCTTGGCTGCCTCGCTTGGGTCAGTCCCGGATCTCAAAGCCGGTATCGATCATTCACTCAACTATATGAAAGCGCTATCTGTTGAGTACCCGGCCTTGAGCAGCATCAACACAATCGAGGACTATGAGGCACTTGAAGGAGCAGATCTCCGAGGACTGAGCAAATTCCTTCAAATCAACGATGAAGATGGTAAGCTTGGCAACTTGTACAGGACTACGACCGAAGGGGGCATGTCAAATGGGTTTGTGTCGACCACTACCGCTCAACGTATAAAGAGAAAGAACAAAAAGCATTTGAAGGTGCTGTGGAGATGAACGGTGGTAAGTATGACTCACAACTTGGTAAAGTGACCGTTGAGTTGGGATCCAGAATTAGAGCAGCAGAATTCTTTGATGCTTTGACCAAAGCAAAACATATTTACGAGTTGGACATCACACTCAACTGGGATTGGACCAAGACTGACCTTGAAGCAATTGAGAGTGCACTAAGAGTGTCGAGTGTATCGATTCTTCGGCTTGACCTTGGTAGTCCTCAAGAAGGTATTGCCAGGAAACTGCTTTCAACAACTGCGAGATATGAAAGACTTGTTCGTATTATAGAGCTCAACACTATGAAAGTGGTCCGTATTGCATTGCCTTCAGACCTCATCAAGCTTTCCAGCCTACCAACTAAAAAGTCGCAACATCATCATGAGTTGACCTTTGAGATAAAGGCTCGAAATATCGGAGCAAGTGACTTTCAAGTGCTTGTAAATTCACTTAGGACCAACCCAACATGACTTTGACCAGCTTGGATTTGAAAAGCAACTCCATTGAAGATAAAGGGGCTCTAGCACTCTCGGAGGCACTCAAGGTTAATAGGTCTTTGGCTACTTTAGACTTGAGAGACAATCCGATTGAGAAGGAAGGAGTCCTGGCGCTTTTAGGCGCGCTCAGAACAAGCCCAACATTGACTACCTTGGGCCTGCAGAGCACTTTAATTGAGGAAGAACTGTCGGAGGTACTCAAAGGCAACGCGACATCCGCCACTCTGAAATTGGGTTACAGTTCGATTCGGAATGAAATAATTCTGGTACTAGCAGAGGCACTCAAGACAAATATGACCTTGGCCAATCTGGACTTGGGGAGCAACTCAATTGGGAATGAAGGAACTCTGGCACTGTCAGAGGCACTCAAGACAAACACGGCCTTGACTAATTTGATCTTGAATGACAACTCAATTGGGAAAGAAGGAGCTCTGGCACTGTCAGAGGCACTCAAGACAAACACAGCCTTGACTAATTTGAACTTATGGAACAACTCAATTGGGAATGAAGGAGCTCTGGCACTATCAGAGGCACTCAAGACAAATATGACCTTGACTAATTTGATCTTATCGAGCAACTCAATTAGGAATGAAGGAGCTCTGGCATTGTCAGAGGCACTCAAGACAAACACGGCCTTGACTAATTTGATCTTATGGAACAACTCAATTGGGAATGAAGGAGCTCTGGCACTGTCTGAGGCGCTCAGATGGAGAAAAGAACAGGACAGAACACGCATATTTGAAGTGCGTTATTGAAAAGAGGAATGATTACAACCTGCAACAGGAATGTATTTCTCGAGTGCGAAGGAGGATTCCTCCTATCTCATGCATTATCTTTGCACTTGCACAATGTTCATGTTACAAAGCTGGCACCATCAAGCATTTCTACTTTGAAGTAATATCCTTTGTTAACAATGACAATAATAAAAGAATAAAACAAAATATATTACATTTGAACCTGTCTACGCCAAGAGTTAAGCATATCCTCCTTCACATCCCCATCAACTTTTTTTCTCTTTTTTTAAATGAGAGGGTCATTCCTCACTTTACAACCACTAGGTTGGTAATGAAACAAATCTATTAAATAGCAGTTCGTTAGTAACATACATGGCACCACTGTATAGTATAGATTGAAAAGAAGAAAAAAAACGCGGATGTATATAATCTTTTCCGCCACTTGTATGCTTGCTTGCTTACATTAAAGAAAAGCTGCTGCCTACAGTCTGAGGGATCAACTCATTCTTGGTTTGATGAAATACTGCACAAATCACCAGTTTACATTCTACTTTCAGTAGGGTTGGTCCTCCAGAGCGATCTGAATAGGTTGAGCTTTCAAGGTGAAAAATAAGGAGAATATCCCATCTTGTAGAATGAGGCCAAGCATGCAAGGTATCTACAGGAGCGATGGAGCATCTTTAGGCTAACATGAAACGAGGTGTGCTCAAGACCGTCGTTGAAGCCACAGTGTAGTCCAACAGCTTTTTTGCCAGAGGTTGTTTCCGAGTTCGCGATTAGAGTGGCTCTTTGGGAAGTAGGGGTTAATAGCAAAGAGTTGTATAAATTGGTCAGCTCTACGACAGCCGCATATTAGAGAATATTTGCATTTCCTCAGAAAGTATGAGGAGTGAACATTAAAGAATTGGCAAAGAGTTGTTTGATCTAACAAGTTTAAAAAAAACCCCCCTGGCCAATGAGAACATAGGCACAGTAGATAGACGTCTGGATCCTTTGTTTCCCATGAGACAATCGCTCCAAGGAAGAGACAAGAGATAGATTGAGAAGTAGGCAAAGAGACGAGCCAAGAGGCAGACAGCGAGATAAGCGGAGAGAGAGAGAGAGAGATTTTCTACTTTTGCTGCTCTCTCTCTCTTAATTCGTCTCTGCCCAGCGAATAATATATCTATATAGTCACTGTCCAAGCGACAAGTGTGAGTTTCGATGGTTGCCACCAAGTATGTGGATAAGATTTCAATAGTTGCATTTGTTCCAGCTTGTCCAACCTAACCTGCCATTCGCTTATTCAACTCTTTTTGCCAGATAAACTAGGGTATTCGTATTACTTTGTCATTCGTGTCATTCTTTAGCTCTTTTTTAAGTTAATTAAAAGATGTATACATCAATAAGTCTATATGCCTCTGTATTGTATATGGTCGAGATGAATACTTTTGTCTATGCTCAGTGATGTTGAGACCATGTAGGATATGGCTAATGGTTCACCCTATAACGCCATGATCTTTTAGAGCCTTAAAGGGCCTAAAAGACACTTTTTTTTTTTTTTTTTTTTTTTTTCCAGATTTTTCAAGTACTTCATATATTTCAAGTATGTTACTGCTATGGTCCTTAATTTATACATATTTGTATTGGATAAGGGTAAAAATGGGGAGAGCAAAACTTTCTATAAATCAATAATATCCACATTACATGTAGGCTATAGGCTGTAGTCTCTAGTTTGTAGTCTGTTGGCAAAATGTTTGTAGTCTACATGTTCTTCGCCCTCTCCTCCTCCCCTTGTGCTATATGCTATATACATGTTATTACGCTATATGCTTTAAAAATGCCCCCTACCCCAGCGCCATTTTGCACTGAGTTACTAACAACGCTATTAAAGCAGTAAAAAGGAAAAAACCAAGGTTTAATGGTCCAATCGTTGAAAATCAAACTCACCCTTTATTACTTGGGCATGGTCTACGACCATCTCTAGGCAACTGCAGATACTGAATTTATACACTGCAGGAGGCTGGTTGACGGTGCTTGCCCTGCGGATAAGTAATAATGATGGAGGGTTAAAAAAAGAATATCAAAAACTAATGAAAATCATCTGAATATAAAATAGAGAACCTTTGCCTTCGAATTGATCCGACATTCTGCACATGGTTGCTGGTAGCGCTATTCAAGTTATAGAAGGTATATAAGCTTAAGCTCTGCATGCGCCAGCCACTACCATGTCAAAAAAAAAAAAAAAAAAAAAAAAAAAAAGTTCTCTAGGATTGTTAAATACCGAAATTACTTTACTCTTCATTATTTGAGTATGAGCTGCGCACATGGCCTGGACGACTGCACCCACACTCAGACGCGGAATGGAAGAAGGAACGATGCGATTGGGAAAACTCGTTCTGTCTCTATCAATTGAGAAAATATCATTATTATTTATATATTCCAAAAACATAAAAATAAAATAATAAAAAGGCCTTATCACATTCCTTACATTCTGAGGGCATAGTCTCTTGCCATGTCCGTCGCTGCTGCACAGGCTACATGCCATGAGGCGTAGCATTGAGAGGGATCTTTAATTAATATAGATAATAAGATCCAAAAAGAAAAAAAAAAATGAAAAATAAACGTAATAGTGGCAAAAGTAGAGAGCAGTGGATAAACGTGAATTATCCCTTATCCTGAATTTGAAAATAAGATTTTTTGCGACCAAAAATGGTCGCAGTTTGGGGTAGTTTTTTTACATGTGTTTTGTACGCAAAATATTATCCCTTGTCCTGAATTGCGACCATTTTTGGTCGCAATTTTTTACAAAATGCTCAGTTAAACAACATTCTATAATTGCGACCCCCTCATTCTTAAGCTAAATTAAAAGAACTTGATCTCTGGTATTACGGGAGTGCATTAAGAAATGGATTCCATTATGGTGATTCATTCAGCATGCACATTCTAATACGACGACTAAACTATGAGCTTATTTTTTCATTCATTCATTCGAAAATGAGAGTGATTAATGACTTTCAGAGGCATTTGGTCTTATACTGAGAGAGAAAAACAATAAAAATGTCACTTTTCCACGCTTCCATACCGCTAGGCTTTTATGTTATTTCCCTTCAACTTCTATCTAGTACACGATGGATCTGCAATACATTGTTAATGATGAAGACTATCAATCCCAACTTGATGACTTTAGAGATTTGGATCAAAAAAAAAAAAAAGATGGACATCGCTAATTTTGCTCACATTTTATAAACCAACTTTTATCGCTATCAAAGTCTCAAGTTGTCATCAAGCAAAGGAGCTCAAAGAGAAACGTAGAAACTAATGAGTCTCTGAGGGCTACTTTCAAGATATCAAAAGGCCCATATATTACTAAACACTCTCTTCCAAGCCCTCGTCGACATCTACCAGAGCTTCGTTTCCCGATAAGAACCAAAGAAAGTGAAGGAAGAGATGTTAAGAGTAGGATGGCATGTGAAAACTGCAGGATTAAGGGCTCTAGGGAAGGCAAGAAGCCTACCTCGCGTTCCGAATGGACATGCGTTGCATGTAAGGCTCCTCTTTGCTTGAAAGCAAAGCAGAATTGCTTTGAGGAATATCATATCAAATAAAGAGAAAAAATACCTATATTATTTTGCGTACAAAATACATGTAAAAAACTACCTTAGGTTTTTCCAAATTGCAAAAAATCTTATTTAAGTTCAAGATACGGGATAGGATAAAGACAAACGCACTTTTTTACACTACGTTTAGATTTGTCCATGTGGCTAGGGCTTCCCTCGCTAATATGTTCTGGCTCTAAGGTATGTCAACAACTGACCATCTCTGATCGCAATACTGTGTTCCGTTCCCTGACTAACGGTCGGGAGGAGCACGCCAACCGAGCCCTAAAATTATTTCCCTGTGCTTTTGTGGAGCAACGCCAAACTAGTTGCGGTTTACTACGCTCCATTGCGTACAATAGCTCAGTCAGTACACCTTCTGGATTTTTGCCTTTTTCCTTTAACACTGGATTGAATCTGCGTGTACCAACAGCTCTACTTCAGTCTCTTCAAACCCCAATGTCAACGGCTTCGTGGAGCCGCGGAGTGCCGCGTTGATAGTAGCGAAGGAAACCATGGAGGAAGCGAAGGCGAGGTAAATTAGGGGCGAAAGAATATTAAAGGCGCCAATGCTCACAGGCCTGAGCATTCATTTGCCACAGGATACTGAGCGTTGCTCAATACAGATAACGTTACCATTGCTGACAAGAACAGGCCAACAGCGATAACAGCGAAATTCCGAGCATTGTTCGAAGACACCCCAACCCATATTATTGTCAAACAACCCTCATTAACGCCATTCCGATTAATGTGAGCGATACCACTCCAATTCCGATGTTTCAATCAGCGAGAGATAAGGCTGTAGAGCCATTGAGATTAACACTGCATCAAATGGAAATTCATAAACTTATTAAGAGTCCAGCCCCTTAAAGATTGAGATCAAGTCACGAGAAGAGGAATAAACGGCAACGCACGAGCCACTCTAGTTTCTATCTTAACTTTAAAACTTTAAAACGCGCAAATAAATCTACCAAAGAGTGCAAGAGGTTGCGAATATATATTTTTTTGACATGCAGTTCTCATGGTTCCATCCTTTTTTGACCAGATTTCTATATGCCATCCCTTATCTAATGTAATACACTAACATGCAAAACTGAATCAATAATTCATTCCCATGTGCATTTCTTTTTTTCATTCCTAGAAACCGTATATGCATACAACACTCATATTTTGTTTTAATAAAGCTCCCGTCTTCTTCTACGTCATAGTTATGCGTTGTGACATTGACTTGTCTCATTTGGAAAGCTAATGGCTTTTTTGTTCATTTAAGTCATTGATTCAGTTTTACAGGTGCTCATTCGGTGGCCAAAGATCTTTATTCTTTTGTGAGCCATAACCTTACATCAATAAATAGTATTCCAACCATGGGCATCACTGACAGCTTGGAGTCTCTTATGGATACCTATGATGAGTTTGCGGCAGAAGCCCACTGGATTCCGTATCATTCAGCCGATATTCGCTCTCATAGTTCATCACAGCTCTTAGCTCGCTCCGGATACCTAGAGAGCCGCCTATCCAATTCTGCGCACATGTGTTCAATAGGGTTGAGGTCAGGGGATTGTGCTGGCTACTCTAGAAGTGTACCTTCCTCCTCTGTCAGATGTACTGACTCCAAATACTTCCTAACAATCCTCGCCGTGTGTTTCGAGTCATTGTCGTGCTGAAAGACGATATCGCTTTTAGTTAGGCCCCAGTCATCAAGCGACATCTGTAGATCCTCCTGGAGTAGTTTGATGTAAAATTGTTCGTCCATATTATTGTCAATCTTTGCAATGTATCCAGGCCCGTACCATGAGAAGCACCACACTTTAAGGTTACCACCTTCAAACTTGACAGTGCCTTGTACTGACCTGCGAGTGAGGCGTCCCGGAGTGTCGTCCCAGATCCACTGCACGCCATCAGAGCAGATTCGGTTTATTTTCGATTCATCTGACCAAATAACCTTTTTCCAATCTTCCAGAGTCCATTCCTTATACTTCTTGATAAAACGCAAACGAGCTTTAATATGTCGCCGGCGTAAAGCTGGCTTACGTACACGCCTCTTTGCTGTCAATCCTAACTCCTTGAGCCGTCGTCTAACGGTGGTCTCAGAAACAGCCGCTGGTATGAGCTGGTTGGCTCTGACGGTGGCCTCAACTGCAGTCTTGAGTGTACCTTGTTTCATGTTCACCTTAAGATACTGCATGATATCTCTAGGTACTTTCCTTGGTCGACCGCCATTATTGACTGGAATGTACTCCTTATTCTTTGCATAGATCCTGTTGGCCGTCCCTTGTGATATACCGACACTAGCAGCAGCTTCTCTAGTAGACATGCCTCCCATCATTAATCCCCTGGCTTCGTTGACTTTCCTTTGTGGAGTGGGTCTCATATTCTGTGAAGATATAGTTAAGAGGGAGTTAAGCAAGTGTTCATAAAGTAATATTGGATTAATCACTTGCGCAAATGAGCCTAGCCTATTTCACAGCTGTATCTCTTCTCTTCACCAACGATGCAGTACCAGTGACTGATGCAGCCCCCCTTGGCTCCACAAAGCACCTTCATATGCCTTGGCATGCCCTCATACAGTTGTTGGATAAAGTCAATAGGTATATCCGACTTAGTCTGATTCGCTCTTTTCTATAGCTTATCGTCCCCAAACTCCTTTGAAATGTAAGCCCATATACGTTTAATAACGTTGAGACCGGATGAATTAGTAGGGCGCTCCAAAACATTAGCCTTGGCCTTCGGTGTGTTATCCTTGATGATCCGGACAATGTGCACCCGAGTATTGTCGTGTTGAAAGATGAATGTTGCTGGATCCATATCATGCCAATTTCGAGACTCAAGTGCATCCTTTCCGAGTATTTTCATATAAGTTCGTGTGCCGATCCCCCCTGGGAGCAGGTACGCGTCATCTAAGGCGTAAAATATAACATGACCCTAGATTATAATTTCACTACCTCCTCCCTTATATTGTTTTCTGGAGTTGGCGTGGTAGGATATGATTATACTTAAGTATTTTGTAGTAATATTTCTTTCGAAAGGCTGAAACCCGCAGAAATCAGACTCGTCAGAATACATAACCTTTCCCTAATTTTTAATTGTTAAATGAAAGTGTTTCATGGCAAATATGTAAGCCTTCTTGATTTGGCCCGCTGTAAAATAGCCTGTCTTTGTCGAAAATATCCTTTTAGCCTCTCCTTTCCAGAGTCTTCCTGACAGTGTCCATGCTGGTTCGTACCCCTTTGGCCGATTGAATTATTTCCAATGCATCATCTGTACTACATAATAATGCAATATCCATTTTGCGAGCAATAAGCCTCGATGTGGTTTCTGATACTTTTGTAGGTTTTCCTACTTTTGGCGTTGGTGCAACATCTGCAAAGCACTCATAGGTCCTTAGAGTCGAACTGATTGATATAACGAGTCCTCCCGGCACTTTGCTTGATGACCTTACTTGACGAAGCAGTGACTCAACGCCGTTGTGAATTGAATAAGTAATGCGAGCCATTACTGATGAAACAAGTAGTAGCATAACTCATGGAAGTAGAAGTATAAAGAAACTGAAAAAGAAAGTGGAGTCAAATAGACAATGGGACTAACAAGAGCAGCATTCCGCGGCAGATCATCCATTATCCCTATGGAAACATGTCTAATGTAGGCTTAGTTGCTGGTCATTGGTTGTATAAAGACAATTGCATTAGATAAGAACAGAGCAATAGCACGGTGGTAAAAGCCCGACTAAAAAAATTAATAAATCAACAAAAATAGTTTTAATACTAGTTGCGTAAATGAATTAAAAGCATTTGCTTTCCTTTGACATTAATTCTTACCTGCCAGTGGCGGCTGGGGAGTGGCTTTCTCCGATGGTGCTGCAGTTAAGACCTTGGAGCTCTCGCCGTTCGCTTTGCTGAGGTCTTTTGAGCCTACATCGCTGAGATTAGCTGCAATATTCGCGTCGGGGATGCCTTAGGGAATGAATCCCTCTGGCAGGATATTGCGAAGCCTAACTAGCAAACGGATAGCTTCCTTCAGGTCATCGATGGTATCACCTGTGCAAACTTTGACTGAAAGTAGGTTTGGATTGCCATCGTGAATGTAAAAGAGTTTTGAAAAAAAAAAAAAAAAAAAAAAAAAAAGAGAATGGGTGTCCCACTAAAAATATTCGAACAGACGTAATGGAGGCGATGCCGCTCATTTATTATTCCCTTACTGTGGCTGATTTCGGCCTTCACCCCCCGCCGCCAGGCTCTCATCGATCCATACGAGCTACTTCTCCCATCACATCCTTTCCCGCGATTATCAATATTCGTCAGCCTTATTTTCCCTTCAACCTTGTTTACGCGTCCCTTCAAAATATGTACCCGCGTGTTGCGTTGCATCAATCATTTCATTCTTCTCTCTTATACTTGTGATCCTTTATTTTAGATAACAACGGCCCCTCAGAGCCTACCTCAGAGCCATAGGATTTATTTTATATGCTCCATGAATAAAGTGCTCCAGACACTATGGTCAATTAACAGCTATGACTGCACAAACAGCAAAGCCCGTTATATTCATGACTTCATAAGCCCTGACCGCCATGATCGGTACTCAAAGTCCACCCATCTGACGTGGCCTGTTGCGCACCCGCGACAGTATCCGCCATCCATAACCATCAAAATCTTTACTTCACCTAGCCACCCCATCACACCTGTAGATATCCCTCACATTCAGTTTCTGTTGTTATCTTTTCCTCGATTGTTGTTGTCTCTTCATTTTCATTTTGAAGTGTCTTTCTTTTATTTTTTCTAGCAGAATTAATTGTTGCTAGTTTGAAAATTGGCGGGCGTGTATGAAGTTACACATTTTGCAAACGATCTGAAGGACTTTTTTTTTTTTTTTTTTTTTTTGTTCTATCGCTTGCAGCATCCTATTAGACAGCGTCTATCACAAACAAGTGGCTCTGTTCCTGTTCCTGTTCCTGTCTTTGTTCTTCTGTTCCATCATTCTCATTCTCTCACTCATTCTTTCTCTATTTCCCTCATTCTCTTATTTTTTATATTTTAAGATTTCTAAAAATCAGCCAAAAATGACCATGATTAGTCTCCAGGGAACATTGACTGTGTATAATCCACAGACACGTCTAACCTATTTCGAATCAGGGCCTGAAAACTCGACTAGTTCAGTGGTGTTTATAGCGGGCTTATTGGATGGATATAATGCTTTACCGTATTTGCCAATGTTGAGTCAAGTATTAGCTAATTTAGGCTTTTCATTGATCCAAGTGATGTTGTCGAGTAGTCATTTGGGCTATGGCATCTCTTCATTACAAGATGATGTCAAGGAATTAGATGTTCTCTTCAAATTTTTAAGAGAGGAACGAGGCAAGAGTCGGTTGTTTCTGGTGGGACATTCAACAGGATGTCAGGATGCAATCTCCTATGCGACCTATGGACTTCATCGATCTGTTATCTTAGGAATGATCCTTCAAGGGCCTGTCTCGGATAGAGAGTTTATGCAGGATTCGATGGAAATGTATGGAAAATATTTACGACTCGCACAGAGGATGATTAATGATGGCAAGGTAACATAAGATATAAACGTAAACATAAACATAAAAACATCTGCTTTTTTTTTAATTTTAAAAAAAAATAATTCTTTTTTTTTTTTATTTTTTTTTTTAAAAAACGTTCAAATATAGGGTCAGGAACTCATGGTTCGGGAAGTAGATGTGGCACCAGTAACAGCTTATCGGTTTAACTCACTAGCATCAGCTGGGTAACGGATTTATAATGTCCTTTGTCGTTGCTAATTGACGTTCAGATATATTCAGATATAGTCCTATTATTTATTTATTTATTTTTCCTGTTGTCGGAAAGGGGAAAAACTTATTTATTATTTTTTTGCTTTTGGTTGCTGTTGTTGGCAATGGATGATAGGGGTGACGATGACATGTTCAGTTCTGATATTCCATTTGAAAAGATGCAGATAATTTTTGGTCAGGTCAAGATTCCGTTGATCATGGTCCACTCTGGCAAGGATGAATATATTCCTGCTCATGTGGATAAGCAACGGTTAGTAGCACAATTATCCGCTGCTTGTGGACAGGCTTCCATGGGCGCAGTTGTTCTACCAGATGCAAACCATGCTATTTCAGATCAAGCCTCTCAAATCAAATTCTGTGAAGTCGTCATTCAGTTCATCCAACAGATCTTGGAACAGACTGAACGACATGAATTATCGCAGCAACAAAGTTTTCATGGCCTCTCAATCTGATTGAAAAATAAAGAAAAAAAAAAAAAAAAAATTTGCTCCGCATGAATATTTGAAGTGAGGATATATAAATTATTTATTTCTATACAAATATTTCATTTGATCCGAGTCCTCCTCATCGTCCGTGAAATATGTTCTTCATCGTCAGTTTGATCTTCTGTGTCGTCTTCATGCTCTTCTTCTTCATCTTCGCTTTGTTTCTCTCCAACTTCTTCTCCTTCTTCGTCTTCCCCATCACCATCCTCTTCATCACTATCCTCTTCATCACTATCCTCTTCATCACTCCCTTCATCGTCGTCGTCACTGAATGCCATCATCATGGTGTGATTTGTATTCCGAACCATCAAGTCATCGTCACTATGTTCCGTATTATGCCTCTCGTTTTGTTCTTTCTCAATCATGCTTAAATACTCGTTCTGAGCTGCGATTACTGATGCCGAGTCTGTACATTTGGAATATTTTGCCAATAATTCGCTATCCAACGGAATAAAATAAAAATAAAAGTAAAAATAAGTCAGTTCTGTATATTTATATGGCAACAAAGAAAGGAGAAAAAAAAAAATACTTACGCATTGACTTTCTTGAAAGCATGCCCCCATTTAAATTTTGAGAGAAGTTCATCCCCATATTCATCAAACCCGGTGATATAGAAACATGCTGCCAATGCCTCTACGCAATTCAACTTCCAAGGCCTTCCATAGTTTACTGGGTTGGTGGCAATTAGATAGGGCACTAGATATTCAGCACGAAGTTATTAGAAGTTATTAGAAGTTATTAGTACTAAACGGGAAAAAAAGATTGGAGCACAGTGATATAGATCATCAATCCGCTTCCTCGGGACTTACAAAGACGGTCATGTCCTGCACGCAACTTTTTAAAAGGAACATCCCCTAACTTTGCCCAGGAACAATCCACTACAGCCAATCCATGCTCCTCGACAACATCACGATCAGAAGGTGAAACAGCTTGCTCGCCATTAGGACTAGGTTTTTTTTGATTACATACACAACGGGAAAAATTCATTTAGTCATTTCTTCCCCATTCTTCATTTCCCTGCTGCTTATAGTGATAACTTGCTAAATACAGTGACAATACATATACATATATATTTCCAAATTAACTCACGTCATACAGACCCCCAAGAAACGTTGGTTAATCTTGAGAGTTTTGACCATCCCCAGACGGACTAACTTCTTTCCTGAACAACGCTTTGGGTCACAATGTTCGAAATCCCACATCCCGAGAGGCATTGGAATGTTGCTCTTGACTCTCTCTTAATAGTTCATGTATATATATATTTAAAAGTAGACGAGTGTTAGACATGAATCAAGATTTTAAAATTTTCTTTTTTCCTTTTTTCACTATACCATCTGTGCTGTCTCCTCGTTCTACATCACGAGCATTTTCCGCACCTACTTCCCTATAGTAACCGATAGATATAGAACCATATAAAAAAGTTTGTTAGATACCAGATCCAAAAAAAAAAAAAAAAAAAAAGAAATTGTTTCCTTTTTTTGAAGCTACTCCTTGTAACTTCTTGGATTATTATTCTCCAAATTTTTAATTCTTTTTTTTTTTTACCTATCTCTACGATGGTTATGAGCCTTCCCACCACGTCCACCTCTACTGCCTCCGCGTCCTCTGCCTCGACCTCCACCATGTCCTTGTCCACGTCCAGACCTGTCGTTCTTTCCCATTGTTTGTAAACGATCTTGTTTATTGGAATGGGTAAAAGAGAAAGGGAAAGTAAAAAAGTTAGTGTTCGAAAAGGGTAAGTGATTAAGGGTAAAATACAGTCCCATGTTTATTTTTCCAGCTTTTTTTTTTTTTTTTTTTTAATGCATGCAATGCATGCATAGGAATATTCTCTCCCTCTTCCTCCATTCATCTCTTAAAACTCCTTCATTCTCAGTAGAGCAAAAGAAACTTATTTGTTTCTTACTTTTTTTTACATTTTACATTTTTCTCTCCCAACATCATGGTACTGTCTTCATTTAACAAGTAATGCCATTTGGAGAAATACTACTCCTGACAGCAACAATACTAAAACAAAAACTTTTTTTTTTTTTATTTTTTTTATTACTTTAATATGAAATAGATCCGCAGACAGACTCGCTTACGTCGCGAATATCTTTACAAAAAGTCCCTTGAGGGCAAGGAGAGACAGATCTTTGAACGCAAGCAGGCTGTTAAAGAAGCCATTGCCTGTATGTTTTTCAATTCTTTTTTGTATTGTTTATTTTTATTTTTTGTTTAAGTCTTCTTTTGGGTTGGGTTTTTGAATAAGATATTTTATTAACTATGCAAATCATTTTATTCTTTTTCAAAAAAAACCTAGCGGGAAAACCTGTTCCAAACGAGTTGAAAAATGAAGGCGCTGCATTCACAAAGGACCTTCAATTTGATGAGGCGCAGGAAGGTAAAAACGACATGATATCAATATTGAGAGCAGTGGTGACAACAATTAGCTCCCACAGGATTCAATAAAAAAAGAAGGAAGGAAAAGAAAAGCTCACGAGCAAAAAAAAAAAAAAACAAACTCTTTTTATAATAGATCCCACGAGCCACATGGATGATGAATATGCCCGTGCAGGTGTTTACGACCCCAAAGTTTTAGTGACAACATCGCGTGACCCTAGTAGTCGTCTTCAACAATTTGCAAAGGAGATGCGTCTAGTTTTCCCAGAATCACAACGTATCAACCGTGGAGGACATGTTATGAAGGAAATCGTTGACGCTTGCAAGGCGAATGATGTTACGGATCTGGTTATTCTACATGAGCATCGTGGTGAACCAGGTAAAGCACAAAAAAGAAGCAAGCATCATGATTCAATCTTTAAGAAAGGCTTCTTTTTATATAATATATACGTGATTGACTGACGGTTTTCATTTTACAAAAAAAAAAAAAAAAAAAAAAAAACTCTAGATGGCATGATTATTTCACATTTCCCTCATGGACCTACAGCATTCTTCACTCTCAACAACGTTGTTTTGCGTCATGATATCAAGGACCATGGCACAGTCTCAGAGGCGTTCCCACATTTGATCTTTAATAATTTCACCTCAAAGCTCGGAAAACGTACATCGGATATCTTGAAATATTTGTTCCCAGTCCCCAAGGAGGACAGTAAACGAGTCATGACGTTTTCCAATGAGAATGATTTTATTTCATTCAGACATCATGTTTTTGTAAAGACGAGTCATAAGGATGTACAGTTGGCCGAAGTCGGGCCTCGATTTGAAATGAAACGTAAGCATTTTTTATGATCTTTTTTGCAAAATGATTATTATGGCAGATATTTATTTTATCTGATGCCTTTTTTTTTTTTTTTTTTTTTTTTTTCTTCCTATCATCAGTCTTCCAAATCAAGGCAGGAACAGTAGACTTGACAGATGCTGATACAGAGTGGGTTCTGCGTCCATATCAGAATACAGCCAAGAAGCGTACCCAGTTGTAAAGGGATATATACAAAAAGAAATAATATGGGAATGAGACTGATTTATTTTCATATCAGCTAGGAAGTTAGATTTATAGACCCTATTTCTTTCTTTTTTTCCTCCTTCTGACGCTTCTTTGCTATTTTTCATTCATTCCTTTTCTTTTCCTTTTTTTTAATCAAAGCATTATTACACCATTTTTTTTATTTCATAGTAAAGCCTGTATTTATAAATATGCTGCATAACAAAGAGAAATTATCTAATCAATGCTTACTATTATTATTATTATTATTATTATTATTATTATTATTATTATTATTATTATTATTATTATTATTATTTGAAGATGCTATCTATGGATGGAGTCCTGAAGTCTCAATGATCAATAATAATAAAGATTCTCTTTCCCTTCCACTAGATTTTGATCGCAATGGTGACCCAAGTGGGTTTTCTCTTACTATTTATTTAACCACCCTAATTTTTGCCAGGTGATATATGTATGGCATGACATTATAGATTTATATTTTGAACATGTTCCATATCTTTCATGTATAAAGATGAGGTTGATGGAGTGCCTATATAGTCATTGAACCCTGTTGCACACAACAATCCTTAAGCACGCTCAATCTTACATTATGATTATTCACAGCAAGGATAGATATTATCATTCCAAAACATGTGCTTTGGCGTTTTTGAGGTCTTTGTAGCCCCACGACCGCTTCAATCCATGCAAGTCGCCATTGGAAACATTCTGGCTATCAGTGAAATATGCCAGATCATAATAAGTAGTGAGAACGAAAGAAAGATGCCTTTATTATGATCCAGGGATCCTCGTTAAATAAAAAGGGGTAAAAGCCCTAACTATAGTAATAACCCTTATAAATGACTGCTGATAGCACAGCCTAGCATAAAAAGAGTAAGTAAGAGTGAATCTCATCAATTAATTATAGTGGTATAGCCTCAGCATTTAAACAATGCACCTAATCGAATAGATTCAATTTGAAAGTCCACTCAGCATACCTTAGCAACCAGAAGGGTAGGATCCGTCGCAAACAATGATGGGATTGTAGCGGTCGTTGTTGGTACAACAAACGTTCCGATCTCTTCCAGCAACATCAGATCACGAGTTTTCACTGAGAGTCTGAAATAAGATGCATTGGAATAGATGACTTGAATGAGGTGTCTTTCATCCAAGAATGCCTTTCCGAAGCGTGCAAGACGGTATATCCCACTGATTCTTGGCGGCATTTGTTTCCAGTCTTCTTCAAATGGATCCCTTCGGACTTCTTTGATGGTTGACTCCGTATCCCGTCTTATCTTTGCCTTAAACCAATTCGCAGCTTTATAGTTCATGATCGCATTCACTCAAAACGAATATTGTTGACTGATCTGTGAATACAAAGACTGCTGCCAGACTGTAAAAATATTGGATAAACAATTAATCAGTCAAGAAGTATGGGTTATTAACAGTATTAAAAGAATATGCATATTGTCTTACTCTTCAGCCAGTGGAATGTCTTCATTAATGCCCCTGGACTTTACGTAAGGGTTTGTGTCCCATGCTGTTGAAATATGGTCTCCAAATCTCCATGTCCATCTTCATTCTCGTCTAATCAAAAGATAAAACTTAGCTTGAAGTCCAGGAATAGACAAGAGTATTGATATGATAGAAAGTAGAATCCCTTACCGACTGCTCTTTTCTGAGGGGTGGTTCGATTAAGAAACAACTGAACCACTGATTCCCCCTGCCTCTTGAGCATCATGCAAACAAAGGCTTTGCACTATCTGCCCGGCTTTTCTTTCCCCTGCCGATGTTGCGAGCTTCAAAAATGTCTCCGTAAACTTATCATACTGCACGTGTTCAATGAGGATCAGGCACCTTTTTGAATCATTTTCAGGTCACGCATATAAACCTTCCAGTCCTCATATGCAACCGTGTGAAAACTGGGAAGTCCTCATGAAGAAGAGGCTCCAAAGGCCATCCTATTATATTATACCATCATACAAGATTTATTAATGAAAGCACTTTTTCCGATAGTGAAGTTTCAGAAAAAGTATAATGCTATTGGCTTCAAAGCATAGATATTTTATGAGATGAGTGTGCCGCACAAGGATCAACGCACACATACTGTGGAGACTAGAGGCGAATCGGCCGTGGAAGCAGATGGTTAGGGAAGTGAAGAACGAGGAAGAACAGATGATTCTGAGTATCCAAGGGGTTTTCAGCCAATATTGAATAATTTCCACGCGTCGGTCACTGATAGGTTGGCACAGCGTGCACGTGTATGATTGTTGGTCAAGGGATCAGCACAGTGATTGTACGTATCCGCAACTGTTCGGAACGCGTAATCATGACTCTATTCAGTAGATGTGGAAGTTGCAACCAGAAAGCCAGGTCTCTAAAATATCTCTTTGGGGACTGGTACTATGGTCTGAGCACGAATATTGCCCAACCAGGAGAGCAGGGTAGCCTTGATTTTTCATTAGAGAAAAAAGTCCCATTCCATCAAGCTGACCCATGCACCACCGGTTCTATGATCATCCGACTCATCCTATGTTATACAAAGTAAGACGGCTTTATTTCTTTGACTATTCTGGGGTTTTTAATGCAGATTCACTACCGCCAACTACGTCTTGCTTCTGCTTTTGCTTTTTGGTTGGTGTGAATACTACAGGAGGCCCTTCTTTCCTAATGTTTGCCTTCCTTGTTATTGCTGCCATAACAGCTTGGCGCTGGGCTTTCCTGTAGTTATTCTTAATGGCATTTGCGAAGTCCCTGTTATGCTGCTAATTATTGAAATACTCAAGGAATGATGATTGATGTGCAGACGTTAAAAGTTTGTAATCAAACTCAAAAGCTCAACTTACCCCAATTCGCAAAAGTGCAGACAAGCCGCCTCCATCTAAAAACTCGGGTATCTCATCGGCATGCCTTGGTATCTGAATCATTGTATCCCCAACAGCACCTGCTCCAAAAGCACCGGGTTCGAATTTCCTCACAGTGTATGCCAGCGCTTTGGATCCAACAATATCCAGTATTATTGGCGAAGGTCTGGGAAACGTACGTTCCATATACTGCGAGATATTGTTCATGATGGATGCATTTGTCCTGATATTTTTTCGGAGTTGGATCTGCAGGATATCTGGAGAGACTGACGAGGACTTGACCTCCCAAGCTATCAATTCTATTGGCTTACCTACCCCCTGTAGGCATAGTTGGTGCATTAGGTCAATCTTCTTTGATCGGACATTTGAGTCGGTCCCTCCAAATTCTTGCTCCATCGCGGCTCTATCCTCTCTCGTTGCCGATGACCCCAACTCCCCGACGCGCACTACAAGATCGTAATCATACAAGATCCTGGCCAGACCTCTCCAAATAAATACATCTTCGTGTTCGGAGGCCTTTGGGACATTCTGCATAGCTATGATCTCATTCGCTCTGGCATTTTTTTTTTTTTTTTTTTTTTTTTTTTTAAAAAAAAATAGCCAGATTCAAGTTTAATTTACTTATCTCAATGGAAATAATATATACATTTGGTTAAAAGATTACTAGTAAAAACTTACAGGAGCTCCATTATCAATACGATTTTTAGTTCTTCGTTCCTGGCATCTTTTTCGCTGGCGGGCCAAGCACCATGATCGCGCTCTTCCTCCAAATCACAGTACCGGCGCTTGCAATACCGCCTCATGGCACGAAGATCCTCGATGGCTCCATGCCCTAGCTCTAACTTGAGGCCCTGAAATATCGCTTCCTGTGATTTTGAGACTGTAAAAAGTTCTTGATTCAGGCATTGGTTGGCCATATCTGAAAAACATGTAAAATTCTGCTGTAGCTCCGAATCCAGGGTATTGATGATGCCACTCAGTGCAACACTTACATTTGATATAGAATCATAAGGTTAAAAACTAAATACCAAGTCTTTGTGAATAACTTTCGCAGAACCATGGAGACTTACAGACAGTTCTTTTGCTCGATTTTGCTACGGGTATCCCAGCTATCAAGGATACCCTTCGCAAAATGATAGAGTTCTTCTGCGATATTTGTAGGGAAGGACACAGGTGTATCAAAGCGCGGTGGAGTGTGACCATACTTAAAAATATAAAAAAAGCAAGGTTGGGAGTTAATATTAAAGTTAATTAAACATCAAATAAGAATGCTTAACAAAAGTATACATATATACCTTCTTGTAAAGCACGGCGACTAAATGCGCGAATGGTGTGCAACTGGCAACCGCAGCAAGCTCTTTTGGCAATTCAACCTTGTCGCCTTCGTCACTTAAGGTCTGATCCTGTATATTCCCCGGCGGTTCAGCAGATACTGGAAACTGCATGTAATCGAAGATGGGTAATGGCAAATGGATCAGTTAATTGATGAGCTAGTGATTGACAAAACAAAAAGAGATGCCGTACCATGTACATAAGGCTTGGTGGATTGTAAAGTTACTAAAAGCACATACCTCTTTAGGTTCAGTATCAAATGTCTCTGGGGTTAGTATGTAAAAAATAAAATAAAATAAATAAATATTATGAAGGCCACCTTATCACCTTTGTGACAGAAAAAATGAACCTGTCCTACCCATCCTTCGTAGCTGATTCTGGCAGGGCGACGAGCTTCTGGAATATAACAATCCGCTATTGTCAGTTGAAGTAGAACTAAGTTCCTGGACGGTTTCATTGGTGATACTTCTTACAGAAGCAATGGACTGGATTCGGCCTTCTGTTCGAACAGCAGAAATATGTGATTCCTACATATAAAAATAGATATGTGTATAAGCTGTCAAGGTCCATCATGTCCATTGTTTATTCAATTGAAGCCATTAACAATGTAGACTATTACCTTTTCTTCCTCCTTGCACTTGTTTTCCCAATATTCGATTCGAATTTGTGGCTTCGCTTCCCATTCATGTCGTAAGATCCTAGCACGCTTCCGGTTAATCTTCTCGATTGCAGGGACCACAACATTCAACCATTCCTGACTGGCAATTTTACGGTGCTTATATTTAAATTTTTCAAACTTGAAAAAATCGATTGCTGACATGCTTTCTACACCATGGCTCTCGAAATATTTTGCATATAATTCTAAAGCATTGCTCATGTTGTTGTGAATCTTACAAACAGTAAAAAATTAATAAGTTTCTCTCTCTTATATATATAATATAAATTTTGCCAGAGCTTGGTTGAAGTCAAGAGAAACACATCCTACGAAGCTCTTTGCCATTCTATCACACACTCATGGTCGAATGAGTATGACAATAGGTGACAATGCCTTTCACCATAAATATGACTATCATTTATGATGAAGGCAAGGCTAAGTAAAATACAACCGTGGCAAGGCTCAGGTATGATCTGAGGCGCACATGCGGTTTTCTTAACGGAATTACACTCAGCCTTTGCGCGACCATATTGCAAAGTCAAGAGTAACGCGTCGCAGACAAAGCTCTGTTCTAGGTGCAGCTGAAGTCAAGAGAAACGCATCCTACGAAGCTCTTTGCCATTCTATCACACACTCATGGTCGAATGAGTATGACAATAGGTGACAATGCCTTTCACCATAAATATGACTATCATTTGTGATGAAGGCAAGGCTAAGTAAAATACAACCGTGGCAAGGCTCAGGTATGATCTGAGGCGCACATGCGGTTTTCTTAACGGAATTACACCCAATCTTTGCGCGACCATATTGCAAAGTCAAGAGTAACGCGTCGCAGCTTTCCTATACAAATCTTAATAATCCAACAAAATGAGAATACATTACCCTTAGATAAACAGATAAACCGTGGCGGTTGAAGGAAATGAATGGTTGTAGGAGCGGAGAACAGAAGATAAAGGTTATGATCGAATCACTTGTTATAATCACTGACAATAATGGTAGTGCAATGAAATAAAGTGATGAAATGAGCGATTACAAAGGCAATAAAAAAAATAAAAAAAAAAAACGGTAGAGTTGTAATGCAATCACGGTGATTGCGAAAATGAGAGTCCTCTCGTCGACTAATATATTTTTAAATATTGTCCTCGTCATTTGGTCATGTACATATTGTAAAAATATATTGAATGAATTGATGACCAAAAAGAGAAAAGATTGAATTGTCATCGAATACAAAAAATATATTGAAGGCTCTCTTTTTGCGCGTCACCAATTGAAATGGACTATGCCTCTAAGAGTTCGCTATCTGCAAGGCTTTCTCCACATGCAGAGTCATATATATATATATACTGAGTATCATCTGACTTAAGCCACTTCAAATTGACACAACAAAGCTGACATTCCTTCTTTCATCTTTCTCTCATATGCTTATAATCAAATCCATGCCATCATCACGGAGCTTTTACACCTCTGTCTTGCAGTGAAACGTAAGTAATCACCACTAAATGTTGCAATTGTTGAGTCTTTATAATACACAGGCTAATCTTTGGTTAAAACAAGCCCCAATTGGGTTTAAACAAGCTTTTAGCCAGCTGCAAATCTGTCATGTCCGCTCTTTTCCGCAGCCTGGATATCAAGCTTGACAGTTGTCTGCACACCCGAAGGAACGCTTTCTATTTTTCTTCTCTTCTCCAAGCTTGAGCTCAGCAACAAAGTCGTCATTCTTTACATTAAATACTCCTGTATTCAATGTAGGAGTCCTTACCTCACAGTCGTGGCTATTGTAGGACGCTTTTTGTAAAGTCGTCATTCTTCACACTTGAATACTCCTGTATTCAATGTAGGAATCCTTACCTCACAGACGTGGCTATTGTAGGACCCTTTGTTGTTGTTCTTTTTCTTTTCTTCTTTTTCTTTTTTTTCTCTTATTTATTTTGCAAGCGCGCATCGGTGTACGTGGGACTATACCGTGTTTTCTTCCAGTCGTTGTTTGTTTCAAGACTTAAAGCGAGAAGTCGTATATCCTCAAGTACAGAGGTATTGAGGTGCCATCCTACAGCTGTATGATTATGCATGTGTGCATCTTCCAATATCCATATCGAATTGCTACTGGATTTTAATGGCTAATTTACTTTGTAAGATATAGGACCCTTAGAATCGTACATCTGCAGTAACAAGCGGCCCTCTGCGCACGCAATTTATATCCAGTGATCCTCATCACAGCCAGGAAGATCAGTGATAGACATAGGAACAAGTCGCTGGCCAAATCATATCATGACTCAGGATGCAGTAGTGAACATCTCAGACAATAACTAGAATAAACTGTATGAACTTTATTCAGCCTTTTCTAAAGTCAAAAGAAGGCCGCATCCAATCCTTGCGCATATTCTCTTCCCGCTCCATGATGTCTGTTGCTACAATGTTCGTCAAAGGCAGGGTGACCTCCGCATTGACCTTTTCACTCATCTCCTCGAGAATTTCCTTAATGATAAGCAAATAGAAATATTAGTTCTCTCAGTGATACAATGACCGTAGCAAACATAAACCTGACAAATCAATGAAGTACATACCCGTGCTTTTAGCAAGATATTTAGACCCTCCTCAATGTATCGGAAAGTCGTGTTGTCTCTTGGAAAAGTAAACCCCCCTATTTCCTTTGCCATATAGAGGGCTTCATACTCCAAACTAAGCACGAAAAATTGCATCATGCCCTCTGAAGTCGTGAAGACGGTGTGTTTTATTGTTATTAGTAAATGTGCATGGAGAATCAAGGTATAACATCAAGTTTTAAAGATTTTACTCTTACCTTGCACTAGAATCCCAAGAACTTAGGGCTTCGTCACGCCATTGACGAGGAGCAAATCTAGCGCAAGCTTCTGAAGGTGAAATAGCTTTCTTTTATCACTCTTCAGAAGGGCGAGAGAAGAGTTGTCACGTTTGCCTTCAGACACTATGGTGACCAGTCCTTTAACTGACCATTGCTCGTCCGGGAAAAGGGTCTGTGTGTAATAGGAAGGAACGGGCATCTTCATTCCTCTAAGGTACAGCAAGGAGAGCTTTGTTCAGGGGCTGACAATTAAATACAGCAAAAACCAAGTTGATTTGACGAAAAAAAGACCTACGCCTGGGAACTGGACTCTGGATGCACATCACCGAAAACCGCACGTAAAATTGGATTTAAAATGCAGTCAAACAGGCTTTGCTCCGTCTTCGGCGGTTCTTTCCAGAGAGTATTGTTGCCAGACAGATTTGCGAAAATTTTGCGTAGTCTTCGGTCCACTTCCGGGTGATCTTGGTGGATATCGAAGCAAAGATTAAAATACCCATGATAGTCGTGGTCTGCAAAGATATTTCTATTGTCCCGCATATCGTCCCTTGACTGGTTTTGCTGAGCCGTCCTTACTTGGAGGGGTGCCTTCCCACGCGCTGGCCAAATGTGAACGCTGTCGTTCACGAATTTCCCAACCGTTTCCCCTTTATCCTCATCGTAATAAACTACAAATGCAGCAAACATTACGAGCAGTGGTTGGCGGGATGGTTCCTGCACAGAGTCGCCTCCACGCTCAACCCATCGGTTTGCTGAGGAATGGTTGATATGGCAATAGCTCTCGTCAAGGGAAACTTCGGGCCGTATCGGTACTACCTTACCTTCAACCACTTTGAGATTAGAAAGGCGTTCGGTCAGGTACTTGTACCGATACTGCACGATCTGTGGAGAATCGTGCATGATGGATTTCCTTACCCCTTTACCCCAATAACAATTGGAGGCTTTAAGGTAACGATTCACGGTCGAGTTTGATACTTTTATCTCGTGCTTTTCCCTTGTTATTATTCGCCTTGGCCACAGAGTTTGGAACGCCAGCCTTGTTTGGCTCAGCGATATAGTCCTTGAGATGGCTTCGAATCTTTGGATCCATCTCTTTCACCTTTCCACCACGTCCAACTCCCTTACAAGGCTTTCTCAAAATTCCGCTCTCGGCCCAATTTATCGAAGCTCTGCACGAGCGGAGATTTATACCTGAAAGCCCAGACAGTTGAGCGTTTCAGCCCGAGCCAAATGCGTCTTTTAACCACTTGTGGACTCCTTCAGGAGCTGCCTTCAAGCGAGAATATATTCTGGCAAGTAGAAGGTATTCCCCATTTGTCACGGCCTGTTTTCCACGAGACGGCAAGAGGGTGCTGCTTTCTTGCGATCCTGGATCAGCAGAATCTATAAATGGATTCTCATCATCAAAGAATGGTTCTGGCTGGATGAATGACTGGCGCTCGAAATCGAGGATAGGCCCTTGGTATCCAGGGGAAGACTCAAGCCCATTGTACTGATGTGCTGGGGAAGGCCAGTGAGGCGATTCTCGAACATTGTGACTCCTGTAGCATTCTGTTTGTGGTCCCCTGTACCGATCTGTGGGTGAATTGGATGGGCTAAAGTGATAGCAATGCGATCTGCTGTACCGATCGCTGGATGAATTGGATGAGTGGAAGGGATAAATACAAGTCATGTTTAAGAAAATAAGAGGCGAGAAGATGAAGAAAAAGAAAAGAAAATAGCAAAAGCGTACCTTAAAGCGTTCCTTAGAATGTTTTAAAACCCGACAGTGGTTGATGAAAGAGAGTGGGTCACAACAGAGTTGGTTAAAATCTCTCTCGACGAGAAAGCGAAGGAATATTAGCATGTAAAATTACTAAAGCTTTATAAGATGTGCATATGTTTTATTGTTATTGATAAGAATGATAGGAGCGCTATTGTCTGAGATGTTCACTACTGCATCCTGAGTCATGATATGATTTGGCCAGCGACTTGTTCCTATGTCTATCACTGATCTTCCTGGCTGTGATGAGGATCACTGGATATAAATTGCGTGCGCAGAGGGCCGCTTGTTACTGCAGATGTACGATTCTAAGGGTCCTATATCTTACAAAGTAAATTAGCCATTAAAATCCAGTAGCAATTCGATATGGATATTGGAAGATGCACACATGCATAATCATACAGCTGTAGGATGGCACCTCAATACCTCTGTACTTGAGGATATACGACTTCTCGCTTTAAGTCTTGAAACAAACAACGACTGGAAGAAAACACGGTATAGTCCCACGTACACCGATGCGCGCTTGCAAAATAAATAAGAGAAAAAAAAGAAAAAGAAGAAAAGAAAAAGAACAACAACAAAGGGTCCTACAATAGCCACGTCTGTGAGGTAAGGATTCCTACATTGAATACAGGAGTATTCAAGTGTGAAGAATGACGACTTTACAAAAAGCGTCCTACAATAGCCACGACTGTGAGGTAAGGACTCCTACATTGAATACAGGAGTATTTAATGTAAAGAATGACGACTTTGTTGCTGAGCTCAAGCTTGGAGAAGAGAAGAAAAATAGAAAGCGTTCCTTCGGGTGTGCAGACAACTGTCAAGCTTGATATCCAGGCTGCGGAAAAGAGCGGACATGACAGATTTGCAGCTGGCTAAAAGCTTGTTTAAACCCAATTGGGGCTTGTTTTAACCAAAGATTAGCCTGTGTATTATAAAGACTCAACAATTGCAACATTTAGTGGTGATTACTTACGTTTCACTGCAAGACAGAGGTGTAAAAGCTCCGTGATGATGGCATGGATTTGATTATAAGCATATGAGAGAAAGATGAAAGAAGGAATGTCAGCTTTGTTGTGTCAATTTGAAGTGGCTTAAGTCAGATGATACTCAGTATATATATATATATGACTCTGCATGTGGAGAAAGCCTTGCAGATAGCGAACTCTTAGAGGCATAGTCCATTTCAATTGGTGACGCGCAAAAAGAGAGCCTTCAATATATTTTTTGTATTCGATGACAATTCAATCTTTTCTCTTTTTGGTCATCAATTCATTCAATATATTTTTACAATATGTACATGACCAAATGACGAGGACAATATCTATTCAATTTGAATTAAAATGTATTTCGCGTGAGAAATGATAAATCGACGACTTTTGTTTCCACAAATGCTTCTTTAAGGTTTGCTTGTTACAACAGGAAGGTTTACTTATTCATTTGCTTGTTGGTTATTCTTTCATCCCTGCCCACTGATTAATCCTCACAAATCACATAATTCTTATGATCGACTACCTACTACCGATAACAAGTAAATCAATATACCAAGGAGCTTACTCGTTTAGTTTTAGTAGATCTTCGCCTAAGGGCAGTCTCAACAACACCAAGTTGAGCCTGCTAAAGACTTGGAAGGCATTGCACAATGCGAGAATAAGTTACACATTTTCTCATGAAGGTCAATAAGTCAACAGAGGCAAACTTCTCTCACTTTTCCGTCTTTAATTCATTCCGATGTTTGACCACCTTTTCTGCAAGCGCTCGACAGCAGGTACCAACAAGGCCTTTGTGACCAAGGGTATGTTCGAAATAACTTGAGCAATGCTGGTGGGATCGAAATCGACAGATTCTTCCATAGAGTATTAATCAAGAAGATCATTAATCTCACTTGCTTTGAGACTTTCAGGTGTGATAGATGTTTCATTTGTGTACGGTATGCTGCCAGGACTTTGCAGAGGGCGCTTGATTGTCTCGACTCCCACAAGCGCAAAACCGTGTAGACAGCTACTATTTCTATTTTCCTTTAATAAACGCAATGTACCTACGAAAGTTTGGACGATCTCCGGATCTTTGCATACGAGAGTGCTTTCATCGGGAACCAAGACCTAATGAAGGATGAGTTTATTGGTGTCGGTGCCTTGAAAAGTGTTTTTTTCTTAACCTCGATTGAATCCTTGAGATGGTCGATAGTCTTCTGCCAATTGATGTCCACTGGGAATGCAGTAGGCTCTCCATCGAGAATGCAAACGGATGAAACTTTGTCCAAATTGGTGTGATTAATAGACAAAAAAGGGAGTTGACTGGTGGGGAAGGAGAAAGGAAGGATTAAATACAGTCGTATGGGCTTCAAATGGAAAGAAACGAGCAATGAGGGTGATAAAAGCTAAAAGTGAGTAAGATACTAGAGGGAACTAATGTAGAGAGAGCGAAAAGGAGCCATGTCGACAGATCTGCTCCCTTTATACTGGCATACTTCACTTCAGTCGCTGTCAATCTGGCCGTTACATGCTTTTTGCCACCAGCTGTTTCCTATACGTAAATATTTGTCTGATACTTCTAAAAAGGGACAGTTGTGTCGCACGCGTTTTCTTCTCAAAATTTCAGTAAGCCACACCCCACAACACCCAAAACAAAATTTCAGAGACTAGACTAAGATCAACTACGGAATATTAGGCGACGTATTGAAAAAGAGAGAAGACGTCGATGACACCTCGATGCCCTTATACTGGAGCCACGAACAAGCGAAGAAAAACCCAGCTTACTCTGCCTACACCCCCTGAATTTCAGTCCAATGTCGAGACAATATCATAAACCTTACATCCGTTTGCCTCTTGAGTTCACAGATAATCCATCTCCTCTTGGTATCTTCCGCCTTTTTTTTCCCCGATAAGACACTCGACACAATTGTATCAAGAACAAACTGCTATGCAGAAAAAAAGATGACAGAGGCTGCAGGTCGTGCTTGGGGGATACCTCAAGAAACAAGCTTTTGGGCTGGATTGCTCAACTTGCCCTCAGTCGAGCAAATGTGGAACAAGGACATGACACTTTGAAGATACGAGCAGATCAAGAGATATATTCATGTTTGTCACCCCGAAATTGAGACGCTTATGTATTACGACAAACTGGAATCACTTCTCATGTGAGAGATACCTTCAAGAAATTATACACTCCAACTTCCAATGGCTCCGTTGATGGGATGATTATCCAGTTCTCTGGACGAAGCTGCCATACAGTTCGGATCAAGAATAAACCTACCCCTGAAGGTTTCAAAATATTTTCGTTGTATGAATCTGCATACTCGATCTGGGACTGTGGTAGGGGATGTTCTGGTTGTTTATTGCCAAGGTAATAGGCCTATAAGGATGCTTATAGCCATTCATGGGATTCTTGGCGCAGAGTGGGGAATTGAGAGGAACAGATGTCCTAGGGAAACGCGTACCAATGTCTCAAAGGTACGGAGAGTTTTTAGCAACTTCTCGAGAAAAAACCTTATTATCCTAAAGGTCATTGACGACTACAACTACCACATGGACGGGGTCGATGTTGCTAATCAACTGAAATCATATTACAACACCCAACAACCCTCACGATGCAATTGGCTCCCGCTCTTTTTCTGGTTGTTGGACACTTCAATCGTTAACTCCTATATTACCAGCCTAAAAGAGGGCTTCACTCACACATATTGGGAGTTCCGACGTAAGCTTATCTGGGATCTTATTAATTCTGTCCGTGAGACTACCAAGACTCGGAGCTCAAGTGTCAAGAAGACACAGCGTCAAAGAGTAACTAAACACTTCAAGTTACCTGAGTGCCGCTTCGAGGATAATGGCCATTGACCTGAAATGAGAGAAGAGCGTGCAGCATGTGTATAGTGTTCCTAGACCGCATACCAAGAAGTAAAAAATAGTGGGGCTACATCACACGGCACTGCCAACAAAACCCAAATATGTCTGAAAAGTGCAATGTCCCTCTTTGTTTCAGCAGCAAACGAAATTGTTTTACGGCCTTTCACACCCAAAAAAGTTCAACTTGAATATATATATATATTTTTTGTTTTTACATGGGTTTAGTAGTTCAAAAATAATCGAACAGTTTTAGGGATAAGCAAAAGACCCGAGACTTTAGCCACCTTCATGTGTTTACTCATTTACTCTCTTTCCCTGTGTGGCATTATAAATATTCTGCTGGCTCATTGCTGCAGGGTGCGATCTCCGGTTCGCGTTGCTTTAACTTGACTTTGTTTAAAATATCTCTAATGTGCCCATGAATACACTGGCCATCAGTCGTATGTGTCACAGCGCTTGAAGGACCCTCTTCGTTAAAGGAGGGAAATATTACTACACATCCAACTATTGATGTTCGCCGTCTCTACAGAACGATGATCGAGGATGGGGCCATGAACAAATTGCACACGAATGCTGGCAGGAAAGGGCAATGGCAAGTTATAGGGTCGTTCAAAAAGCTTGGATATCATATTAATGCAGAAAATCACAAAAAGGCAGTTGAAGGACTTCCTCATGAAGCTATCAGGTGTTGGAGAGAGCTTGGATCATGAGAGGCTGTCCACGACAGGCGAAGCTTTTTTGAACTAAATGCCGTATATCTCGCGCTTGGGGGCAATATCGCGGCGGACTTTTTTTTTGTTTTTTAGGAGATGCATATACTGTATGCTCCTACTGTTTCTTCTCGATCAGTTACAGCTTTCTGTTGAAAACAAGGGATAGACGTGGAAATGCGCCAGACAAGATCCCCAATATTTCAAATCCGTAACGAGCCGTAAAGGTATAATTGAAAATTGTATTTTGCTAACATTGTCACCAATGTATTGCAGATCAGTACGATGATTTGTATACACATTAAATGCCTGGGATGTACATGTACTCTCAGATGAAGTTGGGACGCGCCGGAATATGACTGTGTTTGCTTCTTTATCATAGCTATTCCAGTCAAACGCTTCATTCTTTTCTTCCAAGGGAACTCCCCCTTCGCAAAGAACTGATAATAGAAAAGATTTTATTGAATCTCCCTCTATTAAACATATCAAGACGGGTTGTAATATATATATATATATATATATATATTATATGCATCGGAGTCCTTGGACATGACGAGGCTCATACTCGCATGCGCTATTGATTGTTAAGGCCACTAAGACTAGGTTAGCAAATGCTTAAACATACACACAAAAAGCGAATATTCTCAAGTAGCGTTGGGTAAACGAGCTTACAGGCACTAAAGCGTCATGTCCATCCAGAGCTTGCGGAGCTAGACACAAAGAGGTATAAAACTGCATCGACTAATCCACTCCTCATGGTAGATGCTAACGTCGCAATACCATAAGCCTAACCAATTCTGCACCAACTTTCCCATCTTCTTGTTGGGGTGTTCAATTGATCTCGAGTTACAGAGGAGACTAGTGTCTGGCGCTATGCAATGACACCATTTTGCTTGAACCACCATGCTTGTCATGGCAGCGGCAATTAGGGCAACAACAGTGAATCTCATTGTGGCAGTGCTAATAAAGAATAATTGAATCAATAAGAAAATAAGGAACTTTGAGATGAGAAGGGGATAAAGAGCAAAAGAAGTGAACGTAAGAGTGATATCTCTGGGAATGATCGTACTAGAAAACTTTCTGGGAAGAGGACCGTTTTTATTTATATTTAAGCAAGTGATAACCGTCTGGTGCGGCCTGAAGCCTACAGCCATGTCGGTATAGTCGTTGCCTGCCGCCTGCTCTTGTGTTAAGTGGGAAAATGTGTCCCATGCTGGGGCTATAGAGAAAAATCTAAAGAAGGATAAAGGAAAAGGAGGATCTTATTCTTTTTCACCTGGCGAGTTGTAGTCCTTTGGTAAGGGATGAGACCAAGATCAGTCCCGGGACCGATTTCGATTGCCCTGTTAGCATTGAATAGGAGAGAGAGCATGTGTAAAAAAATAAGATAAAATAAAATGAAAATGAAAATAAATATAAAAAAGAAAATAGCTGAGGGGATATCGCAAAAATGTAAAATGAGAAATTGTCCAAGGGGTATCGGAAAGGAGGGTCTGGAATGTTCAATGTTGGTCTGTGCTTCCATGAAGTTAAAATCAAAAAAGCAACGTCACTGTAAAAGCTTGGCCGCCCGAAATCATTACTCGAATTTCAATTGAGCCAGGGAGCCATATCGGGGAGTACATGTGCCGCATCCAACGAAGGCTCAAATACGCATTGCTGATGAAATATATGGAAGGGTCTTGTTTGTGTTTAAAGGAGGATCCGAGCAAGGAGCAAACATTTCATTGAAATCCACAAGACCAAAAAAAAAAAATTAAAAGAATGTATTATAAATATCGACAAATGAGCGTTTTAATTACAAACAAGTTGTTCAGAAAGCTCAGGAATCGGACCAACACTCAGGCACTCATTCAGGGTTCAAGAACGCTCTAAAGGAGCCAGTCATCAATGATACAAGAGGGTTCGAAATCTCGAAGCAGGCGAAGATTGAACCCTGATTCAAAGGTTACACAGATCATACATATATTTTTTTTTATCTGCCAAGAAAAGAAGAGGCTAATATCTTTGGTGCTTCTAACTCCAGCGCGTTGTCAAACGAACGGCTTCTCAGCTATACTGGTTTATACCATCGAACTCGAGCAAACAAAGAAACCGAAGACATCGGCTTTTAACGAATCAAACTTTCGGATCGCCATTCTTCCGCAAAAAAAAAAAAAAAATACGAATAATATTCAGCATTTTCTATGCATACATTGGCAGTTTTTCTTTAATCATTAAGCATTATTGTTATTCTTATTCTCATTCTGATTATTATATGGCCGTCGCTGTATAATTTGAAACTAAAAGTCCTTTTCCTCTTCTTTTTTCTAACAAAAAAAAAGCTTCAAGTATCCAGTACTTCTCATTTGCCCTATGCCACTTTGGAGGCTTCATCTTTTTGAATAATACGACACACGATGCAAAAAAAAAAAAGAGAAAGTAGTAATATAATCATTCTTTCAAAAATTATAAAGACAGCCAAATGAGTAGAGTGATATAGGGATGTAAGATGAGATAGAAAGGAGAGAAAATTGTTGCATAAATATTAGAAAAATCTTTTGCTCTTACAAGCATCGAGGTTTACAGGAATGGAGTGAAAAAACAAGATACATGTCCTGAATGTTTACGTAGTTATATCTGAGCAGACAACTATTGTTCAAATATAAATATCCACGTTTGCACACCTTCAATTTCTTCATTTCCGCTGACCAATATGTTTTCGATCTGATAGAGCATCGTTGAGAGCCAACATCAGTAAAGGCCACTTGTTCTTGAGGTGAGAGAGTGCTGGATATGTCCACAGTAGAATGAATGCAAGGCAAAGGGACGGTAGAGCACAGTTTGATTAAGTAATGAAGCAAATCATGTGTCAAATTTAGAAGAACTATCCATCAAGAACAGCGATCCTTTACTATGTAATCTCTCTTTCGTTCGAGAATTATACAGCGTACTTGAGTAATATGAAGAAAAAGCATCATGTCCGAAGGAGCCAACCCCCAAAGAAGTAAGGAGAACCTATAAAGGGAGGGAACAGTAAAGGGCCGCCGATTCGGATAATGGATGTAAGACATCCTTTTTCGTCCTCGTAAACCATGATAACTTTATACGTTTCATTGATATCGCCGTTTTCTGGTGTTTGACGTATTTGGTACCTCCAGTAGGGACATCACAGTCCATTTCAAGTCGTTCTGGAAGCCTACCCAAGGTGTAAATATTTGTTAATGTGGTTTGTTCCTGTTCTTCCCATTGGGGTATCTTTGGAACATTGTGCTTTGCTTCGCAATGTAAATTGCAGCGTCCCTGGTGCAAATTAGCCGCTAACTATCCGCCCTCTTGGCCAGGCGTGAAAAATATTTAGACAGTAGTTATCGGAAGCTAAGATAAGTGAGAATAAGATGTGGGTCCACACACCACATCCATGGGGTATTTATTCATTTTCTGGTAGAGAGACTCGTACCAAGTAACTACATATCTATCTAGAAGCGACATGGGATTATTCAGGAACCATGTCGGTGTTTTGTCGCGTCTCTAGTGACGCGTTATTATTATTATACTTTTCTTAGCGTATTAATTTTAGGAATTCCCCTAGTATGTTCCTAGTGTGTTTTTAGTATTTTTCTTAATCTTATAGCTGGGCCGTTATTATCTTGTATATTGAAATATACAACAAGGCGTATTCACTAAGCATGATTCGCTGACGGCTTCAACGGTGCCCTTATCCCATGTGTAAACCAAACTGCCTTGTAGATGCAGTAGGTCATTTGCGTAGTTACGCGTTCATCCTGCTTGAAGATGGATAGTAGTTCACTTGACCATCTCCACCCGACCTGGACCCCCAGCCTTGATAGCAGATGCATGCTCGATGCAGTTCAGCATGCCCTCTAAAAAGAGTGCTGCGCTTTTGGAGATTTCCGTTTAGCTAGTTGAAGTTGAGTGCTGTAAGAAACCTATTGATGAAGCGATCTAGCATGACGTCCAGGATTTCATCCTGCACTTCTTTCGGGAGCCTTATTGTTGCCTCTTTCAGGTACCCACATCCGATTACAAGCTCCGATCCTCTCAGGATAAATGCATCAAAAGTTTGGCGAAGCAACTCATCCGTGGAATGGAGGTCTGGTCGCTCGAGGCAGACACATTTCCGCTGCGATATCTTGCGGCCGTAAATCAAGACTCAAAGTTGCTTTTTAATATTGTTGCCAGGCGGGAGCCTTTTATTAAGACCCCACCACGACTGCCACATAATGTTCTGACTTTATGAATAAAATGAAAGCGCCCCTACGGTGCATCCCTAAGCCTCGGTACATGACCAAAAACTATGGAGCCAGGGGTGCATCTATTACCGTAATATTTTCGAAGAAATACTGCTCATAAAACGTTTGCAGGTGAAAATCCGTAACACTGAGATCACCCATTCGAAGCAGCTGTATGCGGCCACATCAAAGGCATGCAAGTATAGCAGTGACCGAATCTTCTGTATAGTGTGCTGATCCCCTGCAACAAATATCCTTTTACCATTAAACCACTCAGGAGACAGATTGAGCGCCTCTTGCATAATAGCCTCCAAGGCCTGAAGGCTTCCTTGAATAGATGTCTGGCCCAGGAAGAGAGAACATGTGCCTCTTTTTGAGGCGGCAACTCCTTTGGCTTTTGTAATGATATATCTGACATAGTGCTGACCTGTTGCTTCAAAGCGTTGATCAAATGATATTGATATGCAGAGTGCAGGTGCTGCTAGTTCTTATTATTAGGCATAAAGCCTTACCCAGTCAAAAGCTCCAAGGGATCTCAAACAGCCTTGGTCACGGCCGCTGTGTTAACGATGATCAACGATACGGTGATCCCTGAAAAGAGGCGATTAAAATTGCCTAAGGGCTGAACCGCCAGTTGATATTACCGTAAACAAGGTATCATAACCCTAAACTTCCAATCAAACGGTTTCTTGGGAGCGCTTGCATAAAGTTCCTAAACATCGGAAGAGGGAACCATTTGGCACGGAAAGCCCTACTTCCATGGACAGCGAAATTTGCTTGTGGGAAGTCCCCTTCCGAAAGGTAAAGACCGGAGATCAATTGCATATAGGTACATTCATTACTTCTAAAATATGCAAGTATCTTAGACACCATAACCTCTGTGGTTGAAGCATGCTTGTCTGAACGTTGAGATTGTAAGAGACTGAGAGGCTTTTGTGTAATGTTGGTGCACTCATCGCAAACCTTTTAATTAGAACATACAGTTTGGCCTGGCCCGGCCCGCTTGGGTAGCAGTCGCGCGTTTTGTTGGCATACGGAACCTCTTGCCCTTGATAATCTCTTTTAGTTCTTTATTTTCTTTCTCCAGCACAAAGTCAAGGGCGACATCAAGGAGCTCTCTGCGGCCATGTTTTTCTCTGAACGCCACATGCCATATCTTGAAGATTGCTGTCAGTTCTCCTCTCGCGTAGAAATGCCTCCTCTTAGGCTTAACAAGTAAATCCTTCGATAGGAAGAATGTCTCCAAGAGGGATCTTACTGAGAGAGCAAGGATGGAAAGCACATCCAAGACGATTGCATGCCGTTCATCGTCCGTAATCCTCAGTGCTTGGCTAGGTTTTCTTTTCTTTGCTTAGGCTCCTTTCCTGAACGCGGAGAAGCCAATACTGGTAACTTCTCAAGAATAGTTTGCACGCATTTCAAGAGACCTGTAACAATACCGCTATAGCCTACGTCATCGTTTATGGAGAAGGCCGAAGATCGGAGGTATACTTGTGAGTTTGATAAAAGCCTTAGTTGGGATTGGTTTTTGTACTACTTTGGATGAAGAAGAAGGGAAGGGACGAGAAGAAGTGAGGGGACAAAGAGGTAATAGGCGTGAGAAATGGAAGCCGGCAGGGTCAAAGGATTCGCCGTCACGTCTCCACAGTTGGAGTTGGCTGATTTACTTTCAACCAAAGACTGCCGTTGAGCAACTCTGGTATTCAAAAATAATGGTCGGCACCTCCCATCAAAATGAAAGCGGAAACTTTTCATGTCATCATTCAGCAAAACACTTTCGAAAGGCTGACACCGACAGCATTGAAGAAGTTTGTGTCAGAACTGCTTTCTGCAAGTAATGACAGCTTGTCATGCCCTGTGCATTTACAAGACCTCTAAAACGTGTTTCCAGATGTGAGATTCAAATTCCATTCTATTAGACCCTAATGGCAAAAGGCAATTTTTTTATTTTATCATGATGCTCCAGTGTGTCTTTCTAATTGATCTTAGAACTCAACTGGACAAATCTTTTTTTTTTTTTTTTTTTTTTTTGGATTCATTTGGTTTAGTCTATTAGATTCGAACCTCCGCGTATAGCACTCTAACCTGGCAAGGCACTGGACGTCATTACAGAAGTAGTGCAGTGCAGCAACGGCAACGCCGTCACCAGTTTGTATTTCTTAAGGAAGTTATCAAAGCTAAGCCTATCGGGGGTTATCAAGCATGGCTCCCCTATCAATTATCCCTCATTACTCGCCATAATGAATAAACCGAGAAGACGAACTCTAACTAGAGTCTGGAGATGCCGTTGGAGGCCAAAGAAAAGAGCGGTGAGAGGCTTAAACTGCAATAGGAAGCTAAAAAGAAGGATGGCGAATTGCTTAAAATACAATCAGAAATGCTTAGACTGCAACACCAAGCCCTCAACAGACTTGCTACCCTTCAAAGGCTGACTAATGCTATCTTCGTTCAGAGCTTTGAGCTACACAAGTATTCTAATTTTGTCAGTCGATGCTACCAAGCGGGGCTCAATGAATGTCTTGAAGAACAAGTCTCGCCTTCACTTCATATGTGAATGTGGATAACATACAGTAGATGCAAACAAAAGCAGTCAGAACGAAATCCGCATTGCCAACCACGAAGGATATGAAATCCAAATTAGCATAGAGTTCTTTCACAAGTATGGAAAGTTTATACCCATCCTTTATAGCGTCTCAGGTTGTGAATGGAGACGCTTGCGGCTGCTTAATTGACACCAGTTCCAAATCTGGTCGATGCCGGTATCAACTATTCAATCAAATATATAGAAGCACCCTCCAATGAAACCTCCAGGCTTGAACAACATTAACACAATCGATAACTATGATGGAGCCGATCTTCGACAGCTGGACAGGTTCCTCCGGATCAACGACGAAGATAGGAAGCTTGTCAACTTGTACAGGATCACGGCCTAAACAGGACACGTCAAATGGACCTGTCTCGATCACTATCGTTCGACATATAGAGAAAACGAACAGAAGACGTTTAAAAATGCTGTAAATATGAATGGCGGTAAATACGAATTGCACCTTAGCAAAGTGAGCATCACATTAAGATCTAAAATCAGGGTTGATGAAATATTCGATACGTTGACCAGTACAAGGCGTGTTTACAAGTTGGACACCACATTCGGCTGATATTGGAGCAACACTGACCTTGAAGTATTTGCTTAAGCACTAAAGAAACCAAGTGTATCAATTCTTCGATACGGGCTCGGAGAGTATCGAGAATGCACTATCAGGAAAATCTCAATACCCATGATATGAAATACTTGTTTGTGCTATAGAGCTCATCAGCATGAAGGCGATTCATATTGTTCTGTCTCTGGATCTCATAAAGCTATCCAACTTACAGCCCAGAAGATTATCACACCTTCAAAACTTGTTCATGGAGCTGCAGCCTCGAAAGATTGGGACTAGTGCATTTCGAGTATTTGTAAGTCCACTCAAGGCCATTCCAGCTTTGACCATATTGGACCTGAGAGGCAACAAAATTGGGACTGAAAGAACTTTTGCATTGTCAGAGGTACTCAAGGCTAGCACCACTTTGATCATTTCGATCTTGTTTCTTGACTCAATTGAAAAGTAAGAAACTCTAGGACTGTCAGAAGCACTCAAGACTAATACGACCTTGAGCGTTTTGAGCTTGGAGAGCAACTTAATTGGGAACGAAGGGGCTATTGTATTGTCAGAATTACTCAAGGGTAACACTGCTTTGGTCATTTTAGTCCTACTCAACTCAATTGAGAGGGAAGGAGCTCTGGACCTTTCAGATGTATTGAAGACTAATTCAACTTTGAGTACTTTGAACTTGACAAAGAATTCAATTGGGGATAAAGAGGCTCTCGCATTGTTAGAGGCGCTCGAGGCTAACACCGCTTTGAAGGCGTTGGACTTGTTTCACAGCTCAGTTGAGAAGTAAAAGCTGTGGCACTGTCAGAAGCACTCAAGGCTAACAAGGCCTCGACCTTTAAAAAGTCTAGGCACAGATGGGTATAGCCTGACCGAGGATATGTTTGTTTGATTGGTTTGATTATCAAAATAGTAGTTTGTGCCAGCTAAGCATTCGTGGAGACATCGCTTTTTTCATCCTTTGATATCTACTCTTCCTCCCTCACTCTTGTAGGGGATTCTAGCGTACCATTGTTGGGTTTTTACATGGAGAAAGTTATGAGAATAGAAGTGGTTTTCCGAAATCATAGAACCATTTCGATACCTCCTTCTTCTGCCAAACTATCTTTCAAACGCTGCCTAGACCGACTAAAGACTCCTGGACTTGATATATCTTTAAGGGCCCCAAGGGCTAATCCCCTATAAGAACAACATGTGCCCTCTCATCTAGAACTTGTTGTCTTTTCTGTTCTATTTCTCCCATGCAACCTTTTTGCCATATTTTACTGTATTCCTTCAGCTGCCTACTTCTTTTTATGAATGCTTCCTATTTTTTTTTAGTTTGCAAACCAGTGGTCCTATTGGACGCAAAGATCGACTCTGGTTTTATCCCTCATCAAAGGACTACGATTCATCAAGCCAATAAGGTTCTCCTTTTTCCTTGTCTCTTGCCAGGACTTTTCCTTTTGTCCCAATATGCAGTTGGCACAAGTAGACGAAGACCTCACTTGCACGCTTATTTTCCTTGGTAGAAGAACAGGCGACCACAATGTTTATATTTTATTTTTTATCATTACTGTCGACGCGACTGTAATTCACGGAAGACGGTTATTGGTGGACAGCGAAGATGGCGAAGGAAGCCTTACGCCCATTATCCGTACCAGAGACACTTTCTTGGGTTAACTATATAAACGCGACTCTCCTCTTAGAGAAATTCTCAAATACAATCGCCCCTAGGAATATTCCCCTAGCTTCCATTTCTTTGCTTTTCACTTTAAATTCACTTCTCACCTCGACCTTCCTTGCTTTACCTATTAACTCGAAAAAAAAAAAAAAAAAAAAAAAAAAAAAACTACTACAATGAAGTTGACTGTTTCTATGCTGCTTGTCGCTGCCTTATCAAGCATGTCGACTGAAGCAAGGTTGTGTACCTGCGTGCGTCCACCCACTAGAGACCTCTGCACTCCAGCTATGGGCACGATGGTGAAGAATTGGGCAGGTGTATGGTGTTGCAGTGTTCCTGGCAATGCGAACGAGTGGTTTAGGAAATGTGTCAATTATGCTTCCTGCACTTAAAGCCATGCTTTGGAAAAAGCATGCCACTTTAATACGAGGTTGCTCCTGTAAGTCTACTTTATCCATTGATACTCGAAAAGCATTCACTTTGTGTGTATGTTTATGTACTTTTCTAACTCCAGCCTTAGTGAACCTCTTGGTGTCAAGCATCATTGGTGCATAGGAGAGAGATGACCACGCATTGGATATTCATAATAAAGGAAGAATCCAAAAAATCTTTTCCTATTCACAGAGTTTGCAGAATCTTTATTATTATTATTATTATTTTCTTAGGAAGCTGATATTTGTTATAGGAGTTTGAGATATCTGTGAGAACATCAATATTCGATCAAGGCATCACATAGCAAAAATCCAAAATAAGCATTCATGATCCTCCTTAGTTCGAACAATTAAATGATGGTTATTTCCACATCATAAAATAAATAAAATGATTAAAGACTTCAACATCGTGCTTCTGCGCAACAGTGCATTCTGCAGACTTGGAGAGATTGTGCGGTATTTATTATTTTCATCCCGTACTGTATGTCCAATATCCAGGACTGAATGTGCCCTAATTGCACATGCGAGGCAAAGGGCGGCAAATGACTGCGGCAACTTTTTCATGGCTGTCATGTCAAGTATGGCGGTGGAAGTAATATGGTGTTAGTGCTTATTCCCAACCACTGCAGAGCTCTGTGATACCGAATCAATACTAAACCCCGGCAAAAACATTGGTACGAGGGTGAAGAATTCGGCAGGCGTGCGGTATTGCGATGTTGGTAACAATCTTGCTGAATGGTATCAGCGATGCTCTGGGGCACCTTACTGCGCCTTGGATAGGATATGATGCTCTGATACGAGGTATTTATGTAAGCTCGTTTCTTCAATGATGTTTGAGGATATTCGCTTTTTTTGTATGTATATCTACGCATCTGCTAACTTGACATTAGTTGAGTCTCTTAATAGCCTATAGTGCTTACAAGTATGGGCTTTGTCGTGTCCAAGGGCCCTAATATATATGTTACAGCTTGCTTTGATGTACATAATAAAGGAACACCCAATAAAGCCTTTTCTATTAATTGAGTTCTTGGCATAGGAGTGAAGGAAAGCATTAAGCATTTGACTGGGATGTCTGCAGTGAAGAAGCAAACACAGCCATATCTCGGTGTGTGTAAACTTCTTCCGGTGGTGCATGTACATCCCAAATATTACTCTATACACAGGCCATTACACGCTAATCATTAATGCGCCGGTGTCAAAGTTATGCCTTTACGGCTCAATACAGATCTGGAATATTGGCGATCTTACCTGAAGCATTGTCATGTCTATCTCTTGTTTTCAAAAGAAAGCTGTCCATGAGCGAGAAAGAAATAGCGATATGTTTTATAAAAATAAAATTCACGCTTGGAGACGATAACGCGACTCATTTGGTGTGAGATTAGCGATATCTGTCACGGATTGCTTTCCCATGATCCGGGCCCTCTTCAGCACTTGCTAGCCCCGCGGGGAGGCCCCTCGACTGTCTCATTATGGTTTTTGCATTGAATTGGCGTCCAAGCTATTGGAGCAGCAATCCTGCTACTTGCCATTGGCACTCTCTGCTCGCATTTGTTGTATATCCGATCTTACTGAGTAGCCTAGATGATACAAAACCCTTGTTTGCGCCTTATTGATCATAATTAAAATAAAATATAATAAAATAAGAAATGATTTAATAGGGTCGCTTTTGTCATCATCTTTTAAAACTCACAGGGGATCCAGCAGGTTTTCTTTTTTTTTTTTTTTTTTTTGTGATCCGAAAATTTGATTCATTATAAAACTGGTGCCTTGGCTTCTTTATTCCCTCAGGTTCGATAGTATAGATCAGAAGCTACTCGCTTAACAGTGTACTCGACAGATGCGCCAGAGATGCTGGCCCTCTCGCTTTTATGAAAGGTCTGTGTGTTCTCTGGGCCTGGTCACAGGCTCGATCTTAGTCTACTTTAAGATTTCGAGCTCTCCTGTATTTTTGATGACTGAACCCTCTGGAGTATCTACAGACCCCGAATGAATGTCAAAATGCTGCTGGCTCAATCCTTAAACTATCTGAACAATTTACTTGTAAATAACACGCTCATTTGCCGATATGTAAAATACATTTTTTTTATGCTTTGTGGACCTCGATGGAATATTTGGTTCTTGTTCGGATCCTTCCGTAAACACAAACATGATTCCTCTATATATTTCATCAACAAGGGGTATTTATACCTCAGCTAAACATGGTATGTGTACCTTGAAAATTTGATTTTCATTTCCTTCCTCCTTTCCTCCTGGCTCAATTGGGGATTTGGGCAGAATTTAACAAAGATTATATGGTGGCCAAGCGTTCATGGCAGAGCTGCTTTTTTATTCTTTACCTCATTTCAGCATGAAGGAACAGACAAAAATTGCTCCGAAGGCATACACAAGCGTTATACCATAACTGACTGGGTGCGGTTGCTTTGTGAACGCCTACAAACTTTATCAAACATTCCTTTCTGAGGTCCCCTTGGGCTATCGTCATGTGGTCCTCTTTTCATACCTAACATTTTTTTTTGTTCTATTCCTTCAGTTCTACTAGCATTTTTTTTTTACACATACTTCCTCCTCTTTCCAATGCTAACGAGCATTCGTAATTAGTCCCAAGACTGATCCTGGCTCCATTCATCATCAAAGGGCTAGAATTCGTCAGGCCCAAATAATCTCATCTCTCCTTAGATATTTCCGTACAGCCCCAGCATGCGGCGCTTTTCTTTTTTTCCTTGACACAAGAACAGGTGACAACAATCATTGCTTACTGCCGACGCAACTTTAGACTTTAGGCAGATGCCGTTTATTTAAATTTAAATAAGATAAAGGCCGCCCCTCCTCCCAGAAACTTTTTCGGTACGATCAACCCCAGAAAAACCACTCTGTTTTTTTTTTTTTTTTTTTTTTCTTCAAAATCCAAGCATTTTTATTTGATTCGGCTATTATTCTTATTTTTTAACACTGCTACAATGAAATTCACTGTTGTTGCGCTAATTGCCGCTGTCGTATCAAGTATGGCGGTGGAAGCAAAATGGTGCCAGTGCGCAAACCCAGGCACTAGCACCATCTGTAACAGGAAATCACTTTCCAACCCCTATAGGAATATTGGCAGGATGGTGCAGAATTGGGCAGGTGTGTGGTATTGCGATGTTAGCAACGTTAATGAGTGGTATGACGCATGTCACAACATCGCTATCTGCGTCTAACTCCTCAGACTTTGGATGGGGCATGCTGCTCTACTATGGAATATTCTCTGTAAGCTCGTTTCTCCAATGATGCTTGAAGATATTCGCTTTCTTTGTGCGTTGTCTATGCATTTGCTAACTTGACATTAGCTGGGTCTCTTGATAACCAATAGTGCTTACGAGTATGAGCTTTACTGTGCCCAAGGACTCCGATATATATGTTACAGTCCGCTTTGATACACATAATAAAGGAGCACCCAATAAAGCCTTTTCTATTAACTGGAGTTTGAAGGAAAACATCAAGCATTTGACTGATGCCCAAGCTCTTTGGGCAGTGTTGCTGTTACTTGTCATTGACACTCTCTGCTCTTATTTATTGCACACCCGATCTTGATGAGTAACTCCTTCTTCCTGCGAGTAGCTCTGGTTCAAAGGTATTTCCCAGTCATGTCGGCGTGAGTAACTCTGTAACTCTTCTCAGTCAGCTGTCCCATTACCCAAGGCATTCAGTTTAGGGACACTTTTTACTCGAGTCAGATCGAAGCGTTGCTTATCTCAACCCGTTTAAGTCCCCCATCTTAGTAAGGGGGCATACAGAATCAGCAAGTCGTTAGTGCTCTTTCGTTCCATCTACGAAACATGGCGAGACTATCATTTGCTATTGCCATTCCGACCAAACCATGACGACGGAGATGACTGCGTGCAAAACATTGCTTAACCTGCTCGTGCTTCGATGCCTGGTTATTCTGCAAAATGACAAACATCAAAAATAGAAAGTATACCGATTAAGCCTCCCTTAAAAACGAAGAGGATTTGTTCTAGCACTATCATCTTCCAAATCATGGAAAGGCGCAAGCTTTCCTTCAAGAGCTTTCGAAAATTTGGCTTGAAAAAAAATTGGGGAAAACCTTTTCAAAAAAAAAAAAAAAAAAAAAAAAATTGACAACGAGACACATAGTAAAAAAGGTGAATTCCCATATGATTTTTGACTTCAAAAAAATTCAAAAAAAAAAAAAAAAAATTGGTAGAATTCAGTTAATAAGCAATGTTTGTCCCCAGTCTGAGTGAGAAGTGTCTGCAAGACGGCCACAGATTGCCTCAAAAGGCAATCCCGCTTGCAGCGCGTTCGTTCGCACGTGAGCTTCGACCTCAGACTGGTGACGAGCCTAGCAATGGTTGTCAAGCTGTTGGCACTCTATTGGCGTTACATCGAAAGCCACCTCACAAATTTCTTGTCATGTTTCGACTCCTCAATGTGCTGTGGGTGGATACGTGGTCAATAGGAACATGTCAATAGCACTCAGAGGTGAACCTCTGGGTCGATATTACAGTTGAATAAAACTTAAGCAAATTTAATTTGAAAGTTAAGCGAAATTGGTAAGCCACTTAGCTCAGTTGGTTGGTAAAATAGCGCCAATGATATATAAAATAGCACACTCAATTGGTCAATATCTACATATGATGACAACTACTGTACAAAGTGATCGCAGAATCTAGTGAAGGATCTTCTCATCCTTCTTGGTGGGCGTCGTGCTGGTTGCAGGGATGCTGGCAACAAGCTCAAGAAGCTCCTCTTTCTCCTCCTGATCGAACATAAAAGTGGCCTTCTTGCGGCTCTCGATTTCGGCCAAGAGTATACGGGCGAAGTTGAGGCACGTCAACATACATGCCTTCATCTTGTCTGCAAAATCATCGCTGCTCAGTGGGACCACCATTGATGACAGAACGGAGACGCGGAAGCATCCGACGAAATCCATGGCGTAAAATTTGGTCGTATGCAAATGTGATGTTGACCCAAACACCACCAATGGTGACGTTGGCCTGTGCGTTTCACAGATGCGACGCAACTGGGACACCCATGAATCCCGCATGGCACGCTTGACCTTCCAAGCATCTTCCTCCTTCTTCTCCAAGGTGGCACCATAGACCTGCCCAGCTTCCGCTATGTAGATCTGATTGTCATTATACAATCCTACACCATCCACCCTCCTTGGAGTATTCTGCCGTGTCCCCTTCTGCTTGGTCTCCACCTTTCGATCCTTGCTACCATCCATCTGTACCTCTAACATCCGTGATGGTATCTTTGCGATGGTCAGAGCTGAACGAATGAAGCACCAAGTGAAATCCACGAACGCCTCCCGTTCATTGATGTCTTTCCTTACAGTGCTGCTGAAGGTAAAATGATGCATACTATTGAATATAAGGATAGATGGTTAGTCTGATAGACTGGTAGGCACCTAGATCAATAAGGCTCAGGATAACACTGATCCTAGCACGCTATAAATGCGAGGATAGGACTTACTATGACCTCAGTACAGCACTGCAGTATGTCACGAGTGGATCGAGTTGATCAGGCTCTATGACAACAGAACGACAAACATCATCGTACGACACGACGTCAGGGGCAAAGATGCGCTCCACCACCGTATCGAACGTAGGCCATATGTCTTTGATGGCTGTCGAGGTAGGGGCTCTATATCGTGCATTCCTCAAGCCTGCATACCCATATTTCTTTCTGATCCACTCCATAAACGTTCCGGACTCCGAGCCACTAGTGGAAACGTCTGCGACCATATCAAGCGCCAGTGATGTTTTCTGAGCTGTTCGGTATTCCTTAAACAAGGACAGATAGTCTATGGCATCAGGACCGTCAGCACCATATGTCCAGGTTGACGCCTGGCCGAACGATGTAAAGTAGGCGAAATCCTGCCAAGCATCGTCTTCGGACAAAAATGGATTTGGCATCGTGCTCAATGATTGTGTCCGGGATGCACTCGAGCTGGAAGGGTTCTCGTCGATGCCTTCACGAAAAAGTGGTCAAAGCTACGATTAGTGAACCTAATAAACCTTTCACAAACTGTAATTTCAGCTCCATTGATGAAATATACCTGCTCGGACTCGCAGCCGCTTCTCGATGGCCGGATGTTCAGTATGCTGAGATCGCTTCACTACACAACTGGCACCCGCAGCAAGCTCTTTTGGCAATTCAACCTTGTCGCCCTCTCTTTGTTCATCATCAAAAGCTTCTAGGGCTAGTATGTAAAAAAAAAAAAAAAAAAAAAATGTTTTGGAGGCCACTTTTTAATCTTTGAATTTATGTCAGAAGAAAATAAATCTATCTTACCTGTCTTTCGTAACTCCTCGGAGCTTGCCAATCTAGGCGCTGTTGCGAAATGGTTGTGTCAGATCATCAGAATTGGACGCCATAACATAGGACAGCAATACAAATAATTTACCATTCTTTAGCGACTGCGACATCTCTATCTCATTCTGACGCAGTTGCTCCCTGCTAATAGTCAACATATCCAGCTTTCGGCCCTTTAGCACTTTTGTTGCAAGGTGTTCGAGGGCTGCATTCCCTTCATTGTGTGGCTTTCGACCCAAATCTTGAAGAGCTTTATGCTCACAGCCACAAAATGTAGACATCCAATTCCTCCATTCTGAAACAATCGCGATCTGGTTATCAAATTCCATTCCACGATATTCAAAATAGTTTATTGGTGTTGCATGGTGTATACTTTCAAGACCAATAAAATAAGCCGCTCCATTGCGGTCTTGATCAATTAACATTTTCCAATGGAGCTTCAACGTTGGTGCGGCCATTGTAAACACTTGGAGCTCATTTTATAACACATATACAAAACAAAAAAGGTTAAATATTCCTTATACATATCTATCGTAGTCTCATTTTTCAGGATCAAAGATAGAAGCGTAGGCAAAGTATCGAGGGGCGCTCTAAAAGCTGCAACATTTAGAATGGACTTGTGGGATCCATGCTTAATGCTTAAATGAAGTCGCCTGCCCAGAAACCACACATCAATCAACACTCTCACAAGGCAAACGAGTGTGCGATGCTGGCGCATTCCTATCTGCAATAGAAAGGATCGCCCGATAGTCTGACCATTTAACAAGATCCCAATGGAGCACATTGGCACATATCAGGCTTGCCGACATCATCATCAGCCTCATTTTTCAGGATCAAAGACAGAAGCGTAGGTAAAATATCGAAGGGCGCTCTAAAAGCTGCAACATTTAGAATGGACTTGTGGGATCCATGCTTAATGCTTAAATGAAGTCGCCTGCCCAGAAACCACACATCAATCAACACTCTCACAAGGCAAACGAGTGTGCGATGCTGGCGCATTCCTATCTGCAATAGAAAGGATCGCCCGATAGTCTGACCATTTAACAAGATCCCAATGGAGCACATTGGCACATATCAGGCTTGCCGACATCATCATCAGCCTCGATCTTTCAGAGTCAGTGAGAGTCTGTTTACGTACCTGAATAAACGAAGAAAACCTAAATGAGATGCAATAGTTGGTGGCAATAACACTTAAAACTTCATGTATTTTAACAAAATAAGTTTAACAGTTCACAATCCTCTCACAAAGTGCACGATCTCGTGAATCCGGAATCAGAAACATTAAACTCCAAAGTAGGATGGACTCACCGCTAAGATATTGATCAATAATTGAAATCGATTAGCCAATAGATGATGGAAGAGACAGCGAATGAGAAATGTACTAAAATAAAGTAGAAAGTAGAAATAATCAATAACTAGAAAATAAGAAGCTCTTGTGCTGCGGTTCTGTGAACACCATTTGTCCATAAGCCACCTAGGCATTATCCGTACTTGCAAAGACCTCTAACTGCAAGTCATGTGCTCTCTCCCTTTTCTAAGCATCACCTGACCCTCATCTAGAACTATCTGGATACCGGAGACCTTTCTGAATGCTGACTAAGCAGATGCATATCTAAGGTGGCATTCCTAGTTCCAAGGTTCCACTTACCGAGTTATGATTAGAAGCTCCGCTTGCTTATTAATACACGATGCCATAGATCGTATAAATAGAGTGACGAATAAAGGGGAAGCAGACCCAGAGAATGATTCACGTATCGCTATAGTACTGTAGTGTTTATTTCCGAGTATCCAGGTACCCGCCTTATTTCATCCCGCTATTTCCTTTACCCAATCGCATCGTACCTTTTTGATCCCATCGAATCTCCCCGTAACACATGAGATATTTGATCAACGTGTATATATCCGTTATCGTTGAAATCCTTAATGTTACCTTAACTGAAATGCAATAAATGCGATAGAAACCCTGAACATCATATTTCCGATCGCGTGTGTTGATTAAAGCGCGATAGCACATCCCACACATCAATCTCACCTTGTTACAAGCAGCAGCTCCAATTCATAATGAGTATTCCTGCAGAAAATCTACCGTTTTCATCTGAGACTCTTGATGAGGCACTTGGGGAATGATCTGACATTACAGAGATTCTAGTGAGTTTTTTTTTTTATTTTTTTATTTTTCATTTCTTTTTCATTGGCGGCAGCGATAGTGCACTTGATATCAAAGTTAGCATGGATTATTTGAAGAGGCATCGTCTAGCTGAGCTCGATGGTTTAGGCAGAACCAGGTTTAGCGATGATAGTGATAATGAAGACAAAGAAAGTCGGAAATAAGTATGGATGATCATGAAGTCACCGAAGACAGTGATGTTGTGGGTGATGACATTTCTGCTACTGGCACAGCAGGCGATGAAGGATGTCAGAATGCCAGAATGCTGACGCCAAGGTAATCAAGAAACTTCAGAAAGACCTTGGAATGGAACTCAAGAAGAAAGTAATGGATGCAGTAAGGAAAACCCTTTTCTCTGATCCATATATTCTCGCGACTGCCAAGGAGCTTGGAGTCCAGGATGATGGCATCTTCGAATTGGACAAAAAGCATCGATTGGGTTTTATCCTGAATGCAGCGTATCTGGATGATTGGAAGTTGCGCCATCAAGCCTACATTTGTACTAATTTTCTACCGTATACCAAGGCCTGAGCTTAGTGCACAGATGTTATCAAGTATACCAACAAAGCTGTAAAGGAGAGAGCTGGCCAAATTATAACCAGACGTGAGTGTCGCCGTAGAGGGAGTCAGAAGGTAGTCAAAGGACGGGTACCCGGAGGGAAGTCTGGGATCACCAGGGAAAAAAAATTGATCAAATGCGGATGCACGTCCTATTTCAATGCTATCTACCGACCAGCACCACCTACCGAATCGAGTACTTGCTGGAACATAACCACAAGCTACGCAGCAAAGACGATGTACATGTAGGTACACAAAGCAAGTCTTAAGCGCTCAAACAGAGAATCGAGGCTATGATCCTAAGGGGCATGTCGATTCCTGTAATTGTGGATCATTTGACGATAGACCATGCCTAATTCACAAGGTTCTTAAACAATGAGAGCGAAGGCCAGCCACCCTCAAGGGATGATTTCATTACCTATGACGATGTCTACAACGTCCTTTACGCAATAGCGGCTTAAAAAATGAGAAAGGACAAAGCTCCAATCATTTCGGCACACCTTTGGATGGGGGAATTTAGAAGGCATGACTTCTTTACCTACTATGATCAGGAGTATGGCCTCTATTACGGATTTTCGTCACCATGGCAGTTGCAAGAACTAAGGAAGTAAGGCAATATATTCTATTTCGATAGCACACATCAAGCAAGCGGGTATGGTATTTTTTTTTTTTTTTTTTTTTTTTTTTTAAAAAAAAATAAATAAATTGGAGAATGTATTAAACTGCTATGACCTAGTTTTACTCGCTCACGGATTATTCGAGCATTTTGTTTTATAGGCAAGATACCTACCTATTTACGATTGTTGTCAAGAACATGCAAGCAGGCTTGGCTTTACCATGTGCTTTCTTCTTGACAAAGAGTTAAAAATGGAACATCCTAGAGGGATGGCTTCGTGTATTGAAGATGAGAATGGATGAGCTATACGAAAAGGAGTACCAGTCTAACGTGGTTAGCACTGGCCAAGGCCAAAATGAGATTAACGCTATTCAAGCAGTTTTCTCTTTAAATACCCGTATTTTTTACTACGTCTGGCATATCATGAATGCATGGAAACGGAATTTCACTAATAACAATCTTGGGTCAACTGACGTCTCTTCCACCGAAGATGATCTGAGGAGGCAGATAGTAAGAGTGGTTTTGAGCTTGAGTAGTGCTGCTTTGACGGTGATCTCGGTCCGCGTGCTAACTGATTACCTTGAACACTCGATAGATAAGATCAGTACTTTACGATTCTTTACACGAAGTCAAAAGAAGAGGCAGATGAGCTGATTGATAGTTTTAGAATGGCTTGCGAGGGTTGTGCTCCGAAAATAGTACAATATTTGGACAAGAATTATTTCAATGCAATAGCGGATAGAAGACACTGGATGTTTTGCTATCGCGCAGGCATGTCACAATTACGCATCCCAAATAGTTGCGGATACGTACAATCCCTGTGCCGATCCCTTAACCAACAACCATACATGTGCACGCCATGCTAACCTATCAGCGATCGACGCGTGAATTGATTTTTCAATATTGGCTGAAACCCCTTTGCATACCCAGAATCATCTGCTCCTCTTCGTTCTTTGCTTCCCCTAACCATCTGCTTTCACAGCTGGTTCGGCCCTTTGGTCTCTACGGTATATGTGCGTTGATTCTTGTGCTACACACTGATCTCATAAATATCTATGTTTTGAAGTCAATAAATAGCATTATACTTTTTCCGAAACTTCATTATCGGGAAGAGTGGATGTAAATTTGTAATAATAACATACACTGCCATCAGTCACCGGTAAAAAAAAAAAATTGTGGTCTGGTACACCGGTGAAAAAAAAAAAAAAAAAAAAAAAAGAAGTGATTGAAAATGCCGACTCAAAGAAATTAACTCAAAAATGGAAGGTGAATGCGAAGAAGGTAATTTGTTTATGAATACCGTCACTTTCAAGTAAATTTCGGGCCATACAAATCTCTACTTTTTCAGGGCCAAGACTCGCGGCTTTTAGTAGGGAAATCAAGGAGTCTCAGTGAGAAACACGTCTGATTGCCAAGCTTTCATGCATGTGATATACACACTTCAATTAGATCAGATGTCATAACACAATACACAACAGGTGACATCGAACATAATCATCTTTCCAATAAAACGTGGTTACAGTAGCATCATATTTTTTATATCCCACAAATAACAGTCGTGAATAAGAATCATATTGGGTAAAACACATAATAATAGGTCAGCGGCTGTCAAGCGTCCTAGTAGCTTTGCTTTTTAACCCTTCGGTTGCGGCCCTTCCTATCATGTCGAAGTAAGATCCAGTAAGTCGCTGGATTGTCTGGCCATTAATAGGAAACACTAATATGATCCATTGCATACACACACCCTTTTTTTCAAGAACAGTTGTCCTGGAGACTTCTTTGTTCTATAGGACATGCATATATGTTACCGTTGGGCCTCCTCGTTTATTCGCAGCTTTCCGGTTAATCTCTACCTTACAGATAGTAGTGAAGCTTATTTAATGTAAACACTATCTTGGCAGCTATCTATATATTCGTTCTCGTCTTGGAGGGAACATGCCATAAAAGATGCATAGTTAGTACAGGCTGCAATGGTTCTAACGTCAGAAGAATCTATTGCTATGTAAGAAGAGTTGCTGAGAGCGGGGGCCGGCAATGTTGATGTAGGAGCAAGCAGCTCTTTAACGGGTGAAGCGCCCGCCTTTGCTCATTATTTAATATGGAAGACCTGTACAGTA